CTCTTTTTCAATTGGTGAATTCCAATTCACAAAACACTTAACAATTTACAAAAAGTAAATTGTTAAGTGTTTGCGAGAATATTTTTGGTGGTATTTGTGTATAAATATTGGTAAACTGTGATATACTTAGAGAAATAATATGTTGTGAAATATCGGGAGCTTTCATGTGGTAATGCCACTTTGCTTGGATTTTCTGTTTGCATTTCAAACAAATTTGGGACCACTGCACAATCAAGACTCCTAGTTGGACTGTGAAGATTTGTAGCCTGTGCATGTGGTTCACAGTGCTGTGAATCAACATTGTACATACTTGCATGTCTATTGTGGTTATTTATGGTATTTAAATGGAAGTCGTCCATCAAGTCTACTGGAATGAAGACTTTTTTACGAGTAGCAAAACCTGCTGACAAGTTACCTTAAAAAGTCTGTCAAATTGTGTTTGTTAGTTGTTACCATAAGCAGAGAATTAGTTTGGGCCCAAACTTGGCCCAGACTATCCACTCCCTGCCCCTCTACCCACCCCAAGACAGAAGTCCAGGGAGGGCTGGGCCAAAAACAGGAACCTGTATCAACCTGCATTGTTCAGAACTTAGGCAACAAGGTTAATTTTTACCATGGAGCTATCCATGTTTTTATGTATAGGTTGTAGTTGGGCAGATCATGAGTCAAAATGTGGTGGGAGGGGCAATTTGGAAAGGGGGTGTAGAAGGGCAAGATTTATTGAATTTCTTTGCGGCGAGCACTCATGGCCTTTCTGAGGGTTGAGACTAACATCTAGGGCTTTTGGGAGGAATAGGAAATAAACTTGGTCTTTCTATTTCAACTCCTTCTCCAAAATAAAATTCCCTTTGGGGGCCATGGCCCCTGTTTCCCCAACTTAGATCAAACACTGAGCTGTAAGGGGCAAATGTGAGATTGCAACTACTATTGAGTTGAGAACACTTCATGAATCCTGTTCTATGAAGTGCCTGTGGCAACTGAGGATTCGTCTTCAATCCCATATGAGGACAGGGGCAGATCCAGAAGGGCCTTGCCAAACTTTTCCCTGCCCCACCCCTCCCAACAAAAAAATGGGGGGGATGGGTAACAAAGACTATTTTGTGGTCTACTTTCATTTCCTTCCCTTTTTAAAACACACAAAAAGCCATGGAAGGGCCATAGAAGGTTACATTAAAAATCTGTTTGTTGTCCCCCCCCCAAAAAAGAAATAAGTCTTCCCCAAAAGATTCTTGATCTTCCCTTGCAAGAGGTCTCACTGAGGAAAATGACCAACCTGCATTCTCATTTGTTGTATCGAACGAAGACTCCGCATACACACATGGTAAAGCATTGATAATGTCTGCCAAAATGTTTCTTTTTTTCCTATAGGGAAGCTGTATGATATATTCACAAATTAATTTAAGTATGCTGTAAAGATATATTTTAACTTGTATTTACTTAAACATTCATTTACTTGACTGCCCCCCTCCAAATGGTATTAATCCAGTGCCTTTAATTTTTTTAAGTTGGCCCAGTTTTTATTGTAGGATCATTTGAATAATTGTTTTGTTTGGTCTATTGTTTATGACAAATCATTGCAAGTTAACCTTCCCTCTTATTTTTACTCACTCCTAAAAGTCTGTTACTTTGTACTTGTCTTTTTATTAATAAGAAAGATACTAAGTTTGTTGTTGAGGATCTTGAAATTTTATTAACAAGGCATTTTCTAAAAAGGAATATCAAACGGGCACTAGCTGCTGAGCCACAGCATCCATCTTCCCTAGACCACTTTTGACACCCCCCCCCAACACTACCAAGAAAGCTTCAGGGCCAGAAGGTTAGGCCAGAAGGTCAACCTAAAAAATGTTTTGGGGCCTGTAAGCTGCCCTGTGACGTCAAACTTCTCAGTCTCACCTAGAGTGCCATGACTGGAATGACCGTATATGGGCATTTCAAGTCTGTGATGTCACAATGGTACAAGTGGGCGGGTTGCAGTGCAGAGGCATGTCAGCTTATTATGGTCACCGACCCATGAGCGTTTCGATTCTATATTAATTTTAATGACCGATCCCCTGCCTTCTGTGGTCCTTTAACCACAAAACAAGGTCATTTTCACTTTCTCTGGTACTAGGTAGATGATTTTTTTTCAATAAAAAAAAAAGTGGACATTCTTCCTTTGTACCTTGTTTGTAAACCGAATGTTTAAGGCCTAATTAGTTGCTTTTCAAGTCCACTGAAACCTTTGTAGGAAAAATAGAGGTGGGTGGATGACTAATCTCTGTTTTGAAAGCTTCAACACTTTTTAGAGACCACTGTGATCAGGGCTCACCACTCCCACCACTGTGGTACTTTGTTAGCTTTACCAGGAAAGACAGGTTTCAGAAGTAATTAATTTGAACAGTCTAAGAACACTCCATCTGACGAAGATGGATTTTCTGTCTGCTCTGTGTTTTTGAAAATGGTGTTTCCTTAGCCCTGCCTTCGCCAATCTACCATTCCCCTGAGTTTTAGAAAAGTAGAAAGTTTTCTAGTGCTCTCTGCTCTGGAATGTCAACATGCTGACAATCCTTTAGAAAGGAAAACCAAATGAACTCCTCACGCAGTAGACATGCACGTGCACCTCTCTCACTCCTTCCAGTTGCTCAAGTGGTGCTGCTGTTCTCTTAAATTGGCTCCATGGTCAGTCTTGCTTCAATTTCTAAATTCCAAAGGAGGCAATCAGATGTTTCCGGTCCATTCTTTAAATAACTCTAATTGGATACTGAATCAGCATGGCATGCAAACCAAATAATCATGGATATTCTCGTGACAAGTTATATCTGATGCCTGTGTATGTAGATAGGCTCCCCGAGGCGAGTCCTATATAAAGATTTGATTAATAGTGTAAACAGTGATTGACTTCTTCTGTTTTAGCAGAGCACTTTCTTTACTGGTGACCTTTTCTGGTGTGTAGATTTTCATTTTCAAGTTCATCATTCGTCAGTATTAGCATGTTAAAAGAAAATGTATCAGTAATGCGGAGGCCAAGCTAAACACTTGCCCATCCCACCCCAACCCTACCTGCCCCTTTCTACCGCACCTCTGTGCAGTCTCACTCTCCACCCCTACCTCCTCAGCTGTCCACCCTTGCACATCCTGCATGTATCTGATCCTTTTCACCTGCCCACATCCCACCCCTCTCTGTCCTTGCCTACCCTCTCCCCAACCACCCCTCTCTACCCTTGCACACCCCTACCCATTTTTTCTCCACCCCTGTATGCCCTCTACCCCTTCCTCATCCCACCCCTCTCTGTCCTTGCCTACCCTCTCCCCAACCATTCCCAACCACCCCTCTCTACCCTTGCACACCCCTACCCATTTTTTCTCCACCCCTGTATGCCCTCTACCCCTTCCTCATCCCAAACCTCTCCCTTCTCCACCTCCAGGGGCACAGATTTGAGTCTGCAAGTGGGAGGAATGCCGATAAGATTCAAAACTCCCAATTGGAAAGATGAATTGCCAACGTTATGGAAATGTTTGTATGCTCTTTATTTTGTCCAAGACTAAAAAAACAGCCTACTGAAAATCACAGATTGACAGGGCTCTGGCAGGGATCCAGATAACATGTTCATGATAGTAGCAAACCTTTGTGTTTACTTATCTTGCACGTCTTGTATTGCTGATAGTAATAGTTTACATAGCTGTGGTAGGACCCCGGCCTGAGAACAATTTTATGAAATTCCTGCCTGTTATCTGGTAATTCTCACTGGAGAGTTTCAAGCATTTAACATGCCTGATGTCAGATTACCAGACATTGTTTTGTGACAGTGACAGATCTGCTTTTTTTATTACAGTGCACCTTCATGCCATTGGCAAATGATCATTCTTAAAGCTACTTGACCATCATTCACAAACTGACAGCCATGGTACGTTGTTGGCTCAAAATGATATTCATTCGTGTACATCATTCCAACATGCTATGAAAAGGGCATTCCACACATATTTGTAAGACTTATCAACACTATCTCACTCTTTGCTCATTTGCCTGACTTCTTTTGAGTATTTGGAGGACAGATTCTATAGTACAGTTTTCCAATTGTTAGCTTTTTCATACAACTTTGTTTTTCCGTCAAAAGCATGTCCCATATTTTTAATGAAAATATTTTTTGTGCTGCCAATAAGTGATCCATAGATAGAGGGCTCACTTCCCATACCGTATAGACTGAATTCACATCTTCTCATCAGTACCATGGCAATATTCCATACCTTGTGTGTGTGCCAGGTGTGGCTCCATGGCTTCATGACAGATTCCATGTTCATTTTCAAATATTTACCCCCATTGGAGCCAAGTTGGGACCACAGAGAGGTACTTCTAACTTTGTATAAATTTGTGAAACCTGAAGGCTGAAGCTAGAGCTATTGACCAAGTCCAGGTTTGCACTCAGTATCAGTGATTGTGGACATGCTGATGGTAAAAAGGGCGCCCTCTTTGACAGCTGGGTTTACAGGACTCTTCCGGGTACAGTCCACTAATTCAAGCCCCATTGAAAACAATGTAAAATCAGCACTGTTCCGGGCCCAATAACATGCATGCCAACATCCCTGAGATTTCTGAAACAAAAATGAAATTCTTGTCTGGTCACTAATCTTTCAATTTCTTTTCAATTTTTTGTGGGCTAACCACTTACGTTTTTAATTATTCCCACAAAACAAAATCACCCCCCCCCCAAAAAGAGATTTTTCCGAAGTCTGATTGCAGCCATTTTTCAAGTGGCAACCCTCAACTTTCTCAGGCACTTAGGACCATTTTTCAACCATAGGTTTTAGCCAGTCTGCTCTCATATGAAAGCTCAAACACCCAGGGAGTTGATCTTGGCAATGATTTACACAATCTCACCATTTTGGGGGCCAAACAATGTCCTTTTTCAAAAGATACTGTGGGGGGGCACTTTTAATGCTAATGAGCTGGCCAGAAATTTTCACTTGAATTAGTGGAATGCACCCTTCCACTACACAGAGACAATCTAAAAAAGTGTGTACAGTTCACAGACATGCTGCACTTTAATTCATATTTCTTCATAATAATAATTATATTCAATAATAATATGTTTATTTTCTCAATGTTTTCAAAGCAGTTCTGTTCTTCCTGTTTCCCCTTCAAATTAAGGTATTTATCAACTTTGTGAGAGGTTTTGTTGATTAAAGATGAACTGAAATTCTTTCAAAGTGAAGAAAGGGATTCAGTATTTCGAAAACGAAATTAGTTCAGGGGATGTGTCATGCGCACACATTTCTTATAAACATAATTTGCATAATAATAAAGTTATGCTCTGGGTAGAAAATGTAGATATATTTACTTTTTCAGAGTATTGAATGACAGCTGGAAATAGGTCAAGTTGAAGGCAGGCTGAGGTCTCAAATCCGAAAAATAAGTTGGTACTCATAGTGGGGAGCATCTCACCATAGAGTACCGAAGTAAATACATCACGCACACAATTAGTGTGTAAAAGGCATTAGCACGAGAACCAGCGCGTGAACCAACACTTTCTGGTTCACAGTGACGCCACACTTTGGTACTCTATTGTATAGCATAAATGCAGATCTCAGTATTACTCATGTTGTACTGTTGGAACACTCTTGAGGATGATGCAGACTTGTTTGCTTGCGTACTGTATTTTTTATTTTTCAACTTACGACTCCACCTTCCCCCCTGACATTTACATTCTATTTTGTCTGAGTATAATGCCGAGTGATTTGAATCAAGTTGAGTCTAATTTTTACTCTTGTTAGAGTTACCGTTACCAAAAGGATTATCAAAGAGAGTTGTATTTACAAATATAAATATTTCTTAGCTTTTATTGTAGTCTGGTTACCTTTGATCAATCTGCAGTTGCTACTTTACCAAGCTGGTTGTTAAACTTGTAACCACCCCTTGGCTTTTTTTACAAAGTTAGCTAATTGTCACCACACTATGGTCGTTACCAGTTTCCTCCATGGTCAATGGCGTTGAGATGAAATTTTTGATTATCTGTTAGTTGTTGTAGCACAACATTGCGTTTCTCCAAGCATTCTTGGTAGCCATGGTTACTGAGCCAACCGCATCCCCTGTTGTGGTTTTGTACACAACTTGCATATGATGCCTCGCAATCAGCTATGCCAATACTAAGGTGTGTATAGGAAGTATAAGTACACCCATGGAAGTAGTCCAGTGGTCCTTGAGGCAGTGGATGAGATACTGGACTGGGTGACTCGATTCGCACCTGTAGGGGAGAAGAGATATAGTGTTAGTGAACAGAGTTTTGAATGCTTGAGGGAAAAGAAGTTTGTTCAGAATAGATTCATGCATGCTCTTCTTGTATACTGTTTGGGAAGACCCCATAGTAAATGCTTTTCAAATCATAAGAAGGACTCATGATCAACCTGTTTAAAGTCCTGCAGACCTTTTAATTTGCCTGTGTTATCTGATGTGCATATTTAAATCCAGCAAAAGGTGTGTACACAGTAACAAAGAAAAGTAAAGTGCTAACTGGGAAAGGTAAAGAGACTGGCAAAGTTGAGACATGCCGATCAGACTTGAAGGTTTGCATTTGCATCCTGTGGTGAACTTTCTGTGTGACTCAGCAAGGGTCTGAGAGTAGAACTTGCTGATGTGGTGTGCTTACTCAAACATTCGACATTCTTCATAAACATCACCATCTGAAATTTTTTGTCAGAAGTTTCAATGTTTTGTAGAGTAAGTAAGTGTTAATAAATTTGGCTCATCCGAAATGAAGCTATCCTCAGCTGTTGTGATTTCATTTCCCGACCAACGAACTGTGGAGCATCCTGTTGTGTTTTAATTAGAAATATGCAATAACAGTGGTAATTTATGAAAAGGTGCTCAGTCAGCCATACACCGACAATTTCGACTTAATTGCTGATATTACGGAGAACAAGAGTCATCACATGGAGAATCATCAGAGGAAATCTAATCTTGTAACACCTAGTCATTGTTCCTTCCGTCAAACTAGCATCTTCTAATTGAGGTATTCATTCAGAGCATTCTAGTGGAATCACTAGCCCATTCACTAATTAATCAGGACCTCTGAACCAGAAACTCATAATTAAATGTTTTTAACAGCATCCCTGTTATCAGCTTTATCCGATCTTGAACTGTGCCATTGAATTAATATCTGCAATGTTTCGCCATCTGCTCTCTCCATCGTACTATGTGGACACAGTTTACACCCATCTGACCATATGCCTGTCTTTTACGCAATCCCCACCCACATCTACCCACAACCTCCCCCTTCTACTTCTACTATGTGGACACAGTTTTCACCCATCTGACCATATGCCTGTCTTTTACGCAATCCCCACCCACATCTACGCACAACCTCCCCCTTCCCCTTTTGCTATACTTGGGAGGGAATTCGCAAAAGATCAAATGTATGTGGTTGTGCGTTATCAGTGTTCTTTCCAGTTAACTTGAACACAGACAGGTGGGAGATCTAATTATACATGTCTCTGTTGAATAAATCAAGGCAGTGGTTACTTCAAGCTTGCTGTGAGAGGGAAGACTGAATAAAAGTTTTCTCCCTCGTTGGTATTTGTTGGCCATTTTGATTGAGCTGTAGAGTGCACCACTTGCTAAGTAAAGAACATAATTTGCTTTGCAAGAACTTGTTACCAGGCAAACTACGGTGCTGTTTGTATTGGTTGTGACTGGTTCCCAGCCATTAAACATATTCTTAACAAGCAAATTTGTTCCCCAGTTGTTTCTGCTTAGCATTTCTATTAAATTGGGCCAACTTTAACACAAAGAAAGGTATTTAGATGGCAGTCCTGAATTGTTTGGTTGGTTGGTCAAACTACTCATTTGAAACCAATATTCAGCTGACAGGTATTGACATGTGATACAGTCGGTATTGCTTTTGGAGGGGTGTGGGTTCCTCCTCTCTAAATCCAACAAAGCGAAACTATAGAGATGCACTATATGATGTAAGTGAAAATCACTCTGCATTAATATTGAAATTGTCTGAAAAAGAACCCCTTCCACTGGACATTCGAGTGAAATCTTCATCTATTGGAGTGAACAAATTTCATATTCATCCATTAGTCTGGTTTCCAGTCAAAGAAAGAGTGAATTTTCACTGTTGGAAATCTGGAGAGTAGAAGCTGAAAAGAAACTATGATTTCTGTGTTGGTCTTGTCATGTATAATATATTTGAAAAGCATACAAGGTTCCAAACAGATTGCCCCATCTCACGGTTTGTACAGTTGTGTTCATTTGTAAGAAATTGTGAAAATAATGATTGGCCCCTTACCATGCAGTTGGTGCAGTGTTTCATATACAGATGTTTGATTCCCTGGCGTTGTGGTCTGGTCACGGACTGCCACTCAGCAACCCAGTTGCATACACTTAAATACATTTGGCCATCAATCACCTCACCTACAAGCATAAAGAATTCAATATCATCTTGGAGACAATAGGGGTTACTTTCCCATAAGGGTAGAAAGTTTTATTTCTACAAAAACAAACTTGCTAAAACTTTTTTTGGGGAAGGGGGCTATCTTTCTTTTGTCCAATGTTATCGGAAAATTATATAAGAGGTAAAGGATAAAAACAGAAAAGTAACTTTTATTTACTCTATGAATACAAGTCCCATCTTGGGTATGGGTATCAGTGACTTTACTCCCTATGAACATCTGATTGAGGGGGAGGGAGACTATGGGGGCTACACCTGCCCCAAAAGGAACAAAACTGTCTTGGGGAGAAATAACAAGAATAACTCAACTGTGGGGAACTGTGTCACTCCCTTTTTGGAGAATGTAAAAAGCCTCAAAATTTCGCCTCACAGCTCAGAAGGCCACAAAATGTAAAATGCAAGACATTTTAAATGTTAGGGGGCCCCTCAAACAATTTCGGCCCCCCAAAGTTTAGTTTTCAGATCAGCCCTTCCCGATGAATGCGCTATATCCAACTCACCTGTGATGAGATATGTTTTGGATTGTGTTAACTCTGGAACCCCGCACAGTGCCTCTGATGCTGGTGTGATGAGCTTAACTTTCCGACCTATCCCACCATCCACCTGATCTTTGAAGACCCTCTGTACTTGAATTTGGTACTCAAATTGTCCAGGCAAGCTGGTGGCTGATTGGAAAGGGGATTTTCCCAAGACCTTTCCTCGGAAGACTGAATTGAAAAAGATATAGGAAGCACTTTGTTAGTTTTTCACACAAGTGCGAAAACGAAAAACAGGTCCACAAAGCTTTGAGCCTGAGCCAAATCCAATTCCATATTGTCCGAGACCAAGCCTAGTCATGATGGTCGTCACAGCTACATAAAATCAATTAGTAGACTGATGATTGGAACTACAAGTGAATGAATTATTCACCCATGATGATTTTGCACATGCCCACAGCAAGGACACCAAATAGGTCTCTTTTTATTCATACCTACTCCACTAGCAAGGTAAAGATATCTAGAGACATTTTACCTCCTCAAGAGTTACTGTGTGATCAAACAGAAGAAACTGGGTTGTGTTTAAACATTATTTTAACTTGTTTCTCGAGGACTTTCCAAACATAGCTTTAAGAACTCAATTTGAGTCCAACAAGTTGTTGGAGTCCACCACTAGCTGAGTCCAAGTCAAATGTAGTCAAATGGCTTCAAGTCTTAGCTGAATCAGATGTTTTAAGGGGGGAGAGGACTTAATGTCCTCACATGGACTGCCTAATTCATGTCACATAGTTTGGAAAGAAATGGTCAGTTTTCCATTCATTTTTTTATTTGAAGTAAGGATTCAAGCATGAAAAAGCAATCCACAGCAACTTGATTTCTTGAGGAACAGCAACAGATTTGACTGTCTATCATTTCATTTGCTGAATCTGTTGGTGTTACCATTTCTTAAAAATTAAAATTTTGTTACTTCACACAAAATAATCAGATTCTGCTGTCTGGGAAAATAAACATTTGATACGAAACCTGCAATGAGGAAAGTAAATTTGATGTCACTAAATGTCATTGAGACTGATTTGTAATCGGATTAGCTAATTGCAACGGATGAGTTGAAATGTAGAATCACACAAGAAACCGTAAACCTACTTACCAAAATTGGCATCACATACATATTGTTGGGGATGCCTCTTCTGACAGGTGCAGCTCCACACTGGCGAAATGGATACAGCTATAATTATACTGATTGAAAGAACAGCCAGAAGGTTTGCAATAAGGGCAGACATTTTCTGACGATAAGCAGGAAGAAGATTTATAATTCAACCTCACCGACTTTGTTTTGTTCTAAACTTCCTAACTGTTGTTAAGTCCACTCTGTTTCCCACTCTGATCAACTGGAAAGTTATCCAGCCATTTATTTGATTTCAGCCGATATTTTATTACTCGTGCTCACTCCCTTTCAACTTTTTAAATGTTCATTGCATCGTCACTTGCACACTTGCTTTTTTCTCTGTGGGGCGAATGTGAACAAACCGGAATGGCAAGTTGAATTGTTTGCTTCCCGCCAGCTTCATTTGGTCCGGCATTTTTGTCAGCAGGTGTTCCCCGCGTGGGTTGCTAGAAGTGACATCATGGGATATTTTGCTCTAGATTTGCAATATATTTGTGATCTCTGTAGACTTGTGCTGTTAGTAAACAACATGCGGATATCAGTGTCAAAAACTGTTTAGATGATGCTGATGAGAAACATCTAGGCTTTGATATATCTGTTAGCAAGATATTGCATTTGCTGATGTCATTTTCATGCTTTTTCTTTCACTCTTAGCATTCCACTAGTCACACTATCCATTAGACTGGCTCTTATCTCTAGTTATCTGTCTGTCTGTCTGTCTGTCTGTCCGTCCGTCCGTCCGTCCGTCCGTCCATCCGTCCGTTCGTCCATCCCTGTCCCTTTTTCTCAGTTATCATTAGTGTTTTCTTTTCACCATCAGACACTACACATCACTTGAAATGTCATTTCCTCTTCTCTTTGCCCATCTGCCCCCCCTCCCTATCATTCCAGCACTTCAACATTAATGTGGATATTTGTTTGTGTGGGTGTCGTGGTAAGAGTGCATGAACACTTGGCCTGACATTGTTCCTTTGACTGTATGGGTTAATCACATCCTCTTTCGATCCTCCTGGTATGGAGACTTGCCATGTGTGACAAACGTGATGGAATCCACTACCAGATGCTATAATGTGGGGTGTCCTTACGTCTATTCAGATGGGATAATGTTCTCAGTGCTCTTTTCCCTCGTTGAAGATTTGTATAGAAATATTGGGTTTAGTAACTGATTGGTCCTCAAATTAGCAATTCAGCTGGCTTGTTACTTTTATGTCAGGTTAACAGACAAAATTACATTAATGAAAATTATCAACTTTAATGCATTTAATGATTTCTGAAATTTATTCAAGTATCATGCAAAAGTGAGAACATACGTGCAAGTTTTACTTCTAATATTCTGCCTTCTTTCATTTATTCAGTTCCTTTCAAGGGTGGATCCAAAAACCAATTATTTATTTTTAGAGCCAAATAAGTCAGATTTTTCAGGTAACCTTTTATGGACTTTTTGAGAGGTCAGGCTATTTGTTGGGGCTTTTCATGTGCTTTTGGAATGAAGGGAAATAAACCCCAAATGGCCTTTTTGATATAAAGAAATGTTTGGCTCTTTGGGGAGGGGGCTGGCCCTAGTCCCCCCCACCTTGGTTTCACAGAGGCTGTTTGTGCTTTTCACATTTCATTGGGTCAGTTGTCATAAAGACATCTCACAAAGGTTTTTTAAGAAGAAACACCAGTCAGTGCAAAGAAAAAAAAAGATTATGAACTAGCACTCAAAATGTTTTGAACTTATTACATTTATATATAAATCCTATTTACAGAAATAGTAAAATAGAATGACTACAATAACATTATAGTGCTGTTAACATTTGAACTATCTCTTTCTTTTTTTTTCCATTTTTGATGGTTAATTTGGGTATTTATTTTAAACTGTTTCATGTTTATTTTTCAGAAGTTAACTTTTTCTTGAAATGTGATTAATTGATCACATTTTTTTCATCAAATTATACTTGTCATCTTTACAGTAGCCTCACATTTTTGTACTATGATTTTTAAGCCATAAAAAATTGACCTTTGACCTTTGACCTGAAGTTAGCCACCTTAGTACCCGGCCAATTTGCTTTGGCTTTTGGCTTGCAAGGCTGTGTGTTTCTTCAGCCGTTTGGCCACACATTTGTTGTAGCGTTTGCTCTCTGTCCAAACACACCTGTTGTCTCCTATCTCATGGGGTACACACTTTGAAAACAGACTCTCACAGTCTTCAATCATGAGGTGTGCTGAGCCAAGGGGATCGTGGTAACATATGTTGCCAGTTGTTGATGGGTTGTCATGGATACCAGGAACACTGTTATCTCGCTGATCAATCTGGAAAATTGCAGAGATCACCTATAAGTGGAGCTTTCAAGACTGAACACTGATGTTTTTTTCAAACATGACATTTTTCATTTGAGTATTTTTAAGAACATTTCTCTTTTTGGTGGATTTGAAATTTTTAAGCTCATCACACTGAATGTGTGTAGAGTTACTCAGTTTGGAATTCAGCCATGACTGCTGATGGATTTTGAATTTCCTTTGTAGATAAACCAGTGTTTATTGTCATCAGGAGGCAGGATTGGAAGGAGTGGATGCAACCCTTATTTCATTGGAATGCATTAGGAATAGTAAAATGCCACAGGCTTAAGATCTATGTCTCCAGAAAGGTGAACAGGAGGAATGAAGGAACTCAACAGGAGATATTACTTCCTAAACTCACCAGGCAAAATCCACATCCAACATTGTATTCGGACCGGAGTCCCAGACGCTGGTCGGGTGTCAGGTCTTGAAATCGCTGAACCCATTCACACAGACTGAAGAAAACTTCTCCTTCGAGCTCCAGGCCTGTAAAGGGTTAACAAAACATCATCTGAGCAGAAAATTCAAAGGGAATAAACCCCGGGATATACCATGTTCTACATGCATTTAAAGTTAATCAGCTCCAAAGCGTTATCCCTTAGCAAATAGAGGTTTATAATTTTCTGCAGTGAGATTTTTGTCTCACAAAATTACTCCGGGTAATCAAAAACACAATTGCGTCAATTTCAACATCTGAAGTTATTGAAAATATATTTCCATGGCTTTACACAAAAATGCATCTTTTGCATGTATCTCTTCAGTCAGTTTTTATTAACCTGTCAGAATGTAAAGTTCCCCGATGGCCATCTCTGTCACTCCACATTTTTGTGACGAACTTGATGTAATCATCTTGATCCTCTGCCCTTTGGTGACTACCGAGTCAGAACCTTTGAAGACCTTGGTTGCCTTGATTGTGTACTCAAGAAGGCCTCCCATGCCAGGTTTGCCTATTCCAGGGGATTCAACTTTGATAACCCGTCCCTGTATGACTGAATAAAAAAGAAAGAAAAAAAAAGACGAAAGTTCAAGTTCAAGTACAAAAATGTCAGAAATGACCCCTTCAATTGTCAAAGGTTTTACAGCTATTTGTTGAGTGCTCCCTTCCCCCCCCCAAAAAAAAATTGCCCCAGATGACATTTTGAACCACATTTTTTCCCATTTGTATTATTTTTATCGTCTGAAGTACTTAATCCAAATCTCTGTGAATAATTGGCCTTTACTCGGGGAGTCCCTTCTTTGCACAGAAATGGAATTTCTTTCTTACACACTAACATTTTAATGATGGTCATTATAACACGTAACTGAAACAACAGTGTGAAAATCAGAATCCTTTTTCCCATCTATATGTATAATTGTGTTTACTCTCTGAGGTGTTTCATCATAGTCTTTGCATAACGAACATAAAGGGCTCCCCTTTTTATATGAAAAGTCAATTCCCTCCTACACACTTAAACATGAATAAATATTATACCATAATTCCAACAAAAGTATGAAAATGTGAATTTAGTTCAGAACACCTCCGCCGGCACCATCCTTGCATTTTTTCATCTTTAGTCGAAATCAAGACGAGGCACCATCAAATCTTGCACAACTTGTGAAAGACTCTGTAATAGTGAAGTACTGTGCTACATAATTTGTTTGAGCAAGTTTCGAGTTTGTTTATGGAAGGGAATCCACTCAGGTCAGGTTATGTTATGTGGAATGCTTTCTCTTCATTGTTATAAGCATTTTCCTCGTATCCAGGTCATTTATGCCAATGGTTGAATGAATTTTATTGTGTTTCAGTTATATTGGTACAAAACCCTGTAGAGTGGGATGTCCTTAATTGTTTTGAGGAACGTTGTACAATGTTAGCCTTTCACTTTAGGACATCGGTAAATCTTATTTCTAAGCAGGCCTTGTGTATGTTATACCCAAGTCTTAGTCTTAGTCTTTTTACCCCTTTTGGGCAAAGAACTTATGTATAAAATCTGAATGGTTCATTTTCCTTACTATCACAGCAGTTTTGTATTGAAACCATGCAGTTCACTCCTATCCAGTCATAACAGTGGCAAACACTGTTCAAATGTATGAACCAGAACAAAACCAAATAGTCTGTTACTTCTTACCAATATCAGCACGGCAGATTTTCTCTTGTGGGTGTTTGATGGGGCAACTGCACTGGGCTGCCAAATTCTGTGGGTTCGACTGACCCAGTACAGGCAGCAGCACTCCTGTCAACAGTATCACATTTATCTTGAGAAGAACCTCCATCTTTGTTCCTTATTCACTGGAAGTCTACAAGGAATGTCTTGGCGGACCAACCTTAGTCTGCCTCAGGCTGGGTAAATTTCCTCATTACACTGGCAACTTGCTAGTGGAGTGTAGTACGCAGCAACTACACTCTGTAGGTCAAGGGAGGCATTTAAACCAGACAGTTGATGATAGAGGTTTGACTTCATGGGATAGCAATATCTGAACCAGTGGGGAGGAATTTGTGGTGGGGTTAAAGGGGCAATTAGACTTGCCCTTGGATCAAACCTGACTTGATTGGTTCATGAAAAGACAGAGAGAAGTTTTGACCCTATACAAATGGTGCACCAAAAAGTTGAATCCCCTTGATTGTATGGTGGTATTTACCAACTTTTTAATGGAGTCCTCAGTTCTGTGATGCAATTAATGTTGACGATCAAGAGAGAAACAGTCATCAAAATGCATGAACAATTTGACCCTGCTTCCTTGTGCTATGTCCATTTTAGTATCATTTTCTGTTGTACATCATGACCATTGTAACATTCAGTGAGGCCACAAAAGAAGGACAGACTATCTTTTCTAAGATTTCATCCATTTCACCTTCCATTTTGTCTTCAATTTTAATTAAATTGCTTCTAGTTGCTGTGTCTATCTGTGGTCAAAAGCATTTTGATTCTGTGAATTAAAAAAAACAAGATGAAGAGACTGCTTTTGCGCAAAATGAGGGAACGTTGCGTGATTAAAGACACTCAAACGAGGAAGACACAAAACAACAGCACACATGTATTGGCAGTGGAGACTGTAGATGTATTGAATGATAGTTACTACACAGTCAAATTCATTATGAGGACAAATTAAATTTCTTATCCAGAGAAATCATCCCACAGGGGCTGGCTGGCCAGGCCAAACACACTAGTAAATGCAGTGTTGAAACCCATTTTCAAACTGCTCTCAACCATGTTTTAATTTATGAAATTTGTGATATTATGAATAATTTGTTTTTGTTGCTGTCATATCACAAGTAGTCTTGTCTTCATATTTGTTGAAAGCATGTTTGACATTTATATACTTTCATTTAATATGAACATAACACTAACAAACAATAACAAACAACATTAGAACATTAGCAATTCAATTAAATTACATTGTGCTAGATGCTGAAGCCACTGTAACACTTAACAGTTTCAGTCCATTCCAAATATTATGATATGGCTAAGACATATTGTGAGAACTGCAACTAAAGGACATTAACATCAAAGAATTTATCTAAAATTGTCAAAAATACTGGGCATATTGTAAATTACAATCAAATTTGTAGTTTACATATTTCATCTTTAACATTTTAATTTGCTGTTACTCTTGATCCTTCCAGAAAACTAGCATTTCATGCGTATTAATTCCTTTAAATGGATAAGAACAAATGTTGTGGTATTGCATACATTGCTAACAAATGGAAGTTTCTTGAAGATGAATAGTTCAGGCTTAATCATTTAAAGGCTCGTTGGGAAAGCAAACACAAATAAAAAATAGGCTAGAATGAACTATTATTTTATTCTGTTAATTTTATTGATTATTATTATTTAATTAATATTATTTTTATTCTATTATTAAGAGAAGCAGAAGATTAATGCAGCATTGTATCAGTGATTTAAGGGGCCACTGTATTGACATTGTAACATTTTTGTGCTTCAAATATAATGTGTTAAATCTGAACATTTATTGTACTGCTAGTTGATGAACATCTCAAATCGAGTCTGTATTTCTGGTGTGAACTTACAAATTTATTTTAGCCCAAGCACAACTCGGACGTCTTGTACTGTATCTGATGCAGCTCTCATTCTTGGATTTTGTCTCAGTTTCACCTTGAAAGAAGCATGTAGTGCCAAGTGCTGACAATACCTGCTGATCAAAGTTTGATCTGACGAGGTCCCTGGAAATCTGAAATGACAATAAGAGAAAAGAACAGCCAATAACATAGTCTTCATGTAAAATACCTTACAGGGCATGAACGGATTCGGAATTAGCTGCATATTACTCGAGCCCTTTGTGGAAGCATGAATTCTATTATTTCCTGAATACTGAGTTGTTGTTTTTTTGTGCGATGTTGTGCCACTTCCTTTGTAACTCATTGTGAGGTATATTGCTAGACGGACATTATAGGTTTGTGACCATGTACGCAGTTAATAATTTGAAGGGATATGGTCCATGTTATTTGCGGGCACAAAATTAGAGCATGCTTATTGTTTTGGAAGCTTGTAGTTGGATAAGGGTAACTTGTTGAGGCTGTGTAAATTTTAAGAAACATAAAAATGGCACAAGACAACATAAAAAGTGATTAATTAACATGTGAACTCATTTCCGTTTGTAGAATTAAGGAAGGCTACTTTTTTCAAAGTAAAGTTTGTCCTTTATATTGGCTGTAAGTTGTTTCTGCTTACTTTTTTGTGTTCAAATTATACTTTGAGTTTCTCCAGACTCTTCTATAATTCTGGTTCTCTTACCTGGCAGTGGCCACAGTTGTCAACATAAACATGATTGGTGAGATACTGCTGCTGAATCCTTGTCAAGGACTCCCATCTTTTAACCCACTGACAAGCTTCAATGAGCAGGCCATCCTCCACTTCAAGTGCTGAAGATGAGAAATCATTGGATGATCAATCTCTTCAGAGAGAGGGATTATCTTGCTTGTGTGACATTAGAACCTTTTAGAATCACTTTTGGACTGACATTTGCAGTGATGCCTACTATTAGAAAAAAAAATGTTCAAGTCTTACTCAGATTTGGTTACTTGGCTAACGGATTGCATTCTCTTCACCATTCACGCTCTGATTTTCAAACAATCTGACCCCTAGCCTAATAGGTCTCCTTACATGCATGTACTGATGGTACCACATTATGTTTACATGTGTGCTTTCCTATGGTACTCAGTGGACTGGCTCCATACAAAAGTATGGACAAAAAGTTCTGTTCATGATTTTCCCTTATTTTTATTGATGTTATTTTACCTTCCACATTTCTCTTCAACCTACCTTTCACTTGTGTCTACCAACCTGTAATAAGGTACTCGTTACCAATGTCAAGGCCATCGTTTTCATCACATCCCTCCCTGGCTCTACGAAAGAATTGACGCCCTTGAGTTACATGGATGCCTTTGAAGATGCTTATGATGTCGACCGAATAATACGCACGACAAGTATTCAACAAAAAGTCCTCATCAATTTCCCTGGATAAAATCTTGGCTTTGATGACTGTTAAAGAAAAAAAGAGGAGTATTCAAGAAGGTTACAATTTTGTCAAAAACAGCTTTCAGCCAGCTTTTCTGATTAAAATTGCATTCAGTGATTGCCACTTCAGAAACTTGAATTTCCCCACTTTGGTGAATGATAGATCACCAAGGCTTTTGAGAACTTGAGTGATACTGGGCAAGAACATCACACCATAAAATAAATGAATCTCTGCTTCACAAAAATGAATGGTTAAAAATGACAAATGGTTTAAGAGATAAACTGCCCTTTGCAATGAGGTAAGATGTGCCCAGTTTGTGCAACATTATCAATTCAACCTCCAACTTTTTGCAAGGTTTTAATTTATGTGAAAGAATCTGATTTGTGAGGAAATTTGATTTTTTTCCCCAGCAAACTCCATAAATGTTCCCCAGAATGCCAAACTGGTTCTCTTTCCAAACAACATCTTCTTGATATTTAACTTACCAACATCATCATCACAGACTTGTTGTTGAGGATGCTTCTCACAAACATTAGTTTCAGCAAAAGCTATTACCACAGGCAAGATCATACAAAAGAGAAACCTTTGTGGATGAAGGAAAAAACGACAGTTGGAGGATTTCGGCATACTTTCAAGACTGTTGCTCTGTACACAGTGTTGATCAGAAGTAGCCTAATCGAATGATTCATGTAATACTGATCCACTTGTTGTCTGGTCAGCAGGTGAATTGAAGTTTCTCATCATTCAGTGGCACATTTTATGTGTTTTAGAAGCAACAGTTAGATACTGGAAACCCCGCCCACTGCTGAGTGTAGTATTTCCAGAATCATGTCACAAAGCCAATGAGAGCACCAGAGTGGGAGTTGAGATGATTGAATTAATCCCTTGTTTTCATTTTTTACATCTGTTCTGCTCTTCTGTTTCATCAAGAATCCCTCGTAGTTCGATGCCAATATTAATTTGATTCAATGAAGTGAAATCAAATGAAGAGACTGCATAAATTTTGGGAATCTTGTATAATCAACAAAATTATAAGCAAACCCCAAAACACAACTAATATTAATCATCAGTCAACTGAAATGTGATTTTGTAAAACAGTTTGCAAACTCAGACTTTTTATTTTCTTAACATGGTAACTTAATTAACCTATTTTGAGACTGTCATACAATGAAAAGTCTTTTTCTTGTTTGTTGAAAGCAGTATTTGGTTCATCTACATCTCTAATCTAAAATGAAGTGAAAAATCAACAATATGTAATTGAAATGTTTAATATTGCACACATAATTTTGGCACCCCTTCAATAATGGAATGCCACCTGCCACAAGAGTACACATTCAGCACCTTTGTAAAATATAAGTGTAAAAGTAATTCCAAATATTGTGAAGAGACTAAGTGTTACACAGTTTGATGTCAACTCTTTGCAGATTTCAAAGTCACATCGTGAGAAGTGGAGTATAAAAATGTCTAGAGTTAAAGACCTAAACCAGAATTGTCTAAAATACCAAATGCATTAGAAATCACATTCAGCTTTGCAATTCAAGTATTGCATGCAGTATATGACATGTAAGGTGCTTTTTCTGGCAAACCTTGTGAAAGACTGGCATTATTACAAGTTACCTCCGTTAATTTTTTTTCATGTTTTCTCATGGCACATCAGATAATCTGTCACAAAAATAACCTGTGGAATGTACTTGTAACCCTGCATAATTCAAATAATAAGATTTGATATAAAATTCATCCTGCTTTTATTTAAAGCAAAAGTTATGCACTTAATTTCTGATTAAATACAGATAAGGTAAATAGTGGTTAAAATAAACCTCAAATATTCGTTATCATAAGGACGGATTGGGCTCATCAATGTGGTACGTTTGCGTAATTTAGAACAAAATAAGGTTTTTCGTAAAAACTGCTGATGAAGGTGTTACTAATTAGATTATATTACAGCTGTACAAATAACATAGGTTTGAAATTTTGCAGCATTGATTTAAACATCTAACCCTCCTATGCAAAGATACATTTTTGACACAGTTGTCATATCAGTCAAAACCATTCAAATTTCCCATATGTGTCTGGGTACCAGGGCAAATCAAGTGGAAGGAATTTTTGACTATTTTTGATGGTTACAGCAGAAGGACGGTTAGCTAATGTTCAAAGATAAGCAGGCATGTTCATTTTCATTCTTATGGGTAGGGGCACATACAAAGACATGGGTGGAATGCACTTTTTAGTTTGTAAGGGTAACAAAAAGATGAATGTGTTCATGCATCATAATGCAGCAGTATTGTGATTTCAGTCGCCAATTTGTTCACATATCAACATTTTGATGCTCCAAAATGTGCTTTATTTCTTCTGAAGAACTTGGCCTACTAGTTGATGAGTATTTCAGGCAATGCATGCAGATTTCTGAACTTTTCATATAAATCGTTTCGCATCCAAGAGCAGTTCTGACTGGTGCCACGCCTAAGGCAGCTCATTTTCTGGCGTTGTTTCTGACCATTTTCAGATGAAAAGTCATAGGAGCATGTATCACCAACAGCCTCGGGCCGCTGCAAACTGTTGAATGCTCGGAATGCAAATCTTGAAATCTGAAATGAAAGAAACAGTAATTACAAACAGAAAAGTTTATTTCTGTAATGCAATATGTACAAACTACTGCCAACTGTTTGCTGGCTACAGGTGACCTATACCTACACAATACCAAAAAGTTTTAGAGCCTGATGTTTTGATCGTAGCTGAATCATTCCCATAGGCAACAAAAATTATCAAATTTCTTTCCGGGCATGAAATTACATGCCATTCTGTGAAAAATTCCCCGAGGAATGGGCAAAGCTTTCATCCACAATAACTTTTGCCTTTTTAAAGCAATGAGTGGTTTTCAACCCCTTTCATTTGAAATTCATTTGTTTCCTTCCCACGTTTTATTTTTCCGCCGGGGGGGTCGGGGAGGGGGGGTTCAAGTAGCCTGTCACCCCTCATGATCCCCATTGCTACATACCTGGCAGTAGTCACAGTTATCCGTGTAGGCATCGTGGATGAGAGCTTGTTGCTGTAATTTGGTCAGGCTGCTCCATTTGACAATCCACTGGCAATCTCCAGACTTTAGCTTATTATCACTTTGGTATCCTGAAGAAGAGAAAGCATGAAAATCTGTCAGAAAGAAAGATTATTTCTGGGGCCAGTTCAGCAAACCCCCATGAAGTGATACTGCCAGGAATTTTGCATGCTACATTCGTGTTACTCTCTCATGCCCCGCACCATGCTGCATTTTTTTGTCAGAGTTGAAGAACAATTTTTGATATTTTAGAAGTTTGGTGTCGATTTTTTATTTTTTATTTTTTTGGGAGAGTAATAGTTGGTGCGTCTAGGGAGTGATTTATTTCCTAACACTGGGTAGGTTGCTACAACAAAGCAGCATTGCCTTATTAATGGGAGGTCAAAATAGAAAGATGTCAACATAGTTTTGGGATGATTCTTGTGTGCCAGATGATTTTTCTTGGGGGGTTGATAAATCAAATAACTGGGGTGGACAGATGTTTTGATATATTAGTGAGTAATAAACTCAAATAAGTTTAGGTTCAAAAGCACAACAAGACAAGTTAGTGGAAAACAAAATGAGTGGCTTGGGCTTTGAGCCCCTCTGTCAGGTCGATGGCTTTCATGAGCTTGTCTAAATTTTCTAATCCAATTTTCCCATTTCCAGATGTATATATTTCTTACAAGTCAATGTCATCACATTCTAACTTCTACTGTTGTTAGAACTAACCAACCAACCTGTAATGATGTACTTGTCTCCAATGTCGAGGCCACCTTTCTCATTGCAGCTCTCCCTGATTCCATGAATGTATTGATTCTCTGTGGCTACAAATTGGATGCCCTTGAAAATTGCAGTGATGTTGACGTTGTAACGGGCAACACAGATTTTTGGGTTGAGCCAGTCTTGAGCTGATGTCCTGGACAGAATCTTGCCTTTGATGACTGCATAAACAATGAGATAACGTTCACAATTAAACTTTAAACATTTTTTTGGAAACATTTTTTTTTTGAGTCAGTCATTCTCTCCATCCAACATTTTAAACATTGACCGATCGATGGTTCACTCTTTTTAGAGTTCAACATCATTTGTATACAAGTGGACCATGCTTTGATGTGAATGGTGATCCGCAAAGTACATCAAAGAAAGTGGAAACTAAGAGGAAAAAAAGTTTGGCCCAGGTTTCAGAGAACCGACTTCTTTGTGCACCTGACTGAGATTTAATTGATCATACCATGTGATATTGATTTGCCCTCCCTGGTTTGGAAGTTACACATTCTTCTCTAAAAGTGCTGATTCATAAAGGCAATCAACAAATTTGCTGCAAAGTAAATTAAAAAAAAACAAAAAAACAGTCATTCTGGGTTATCTATGGAAGCTTCCTCAATCTTCATGGGTTGACCACCTCAAACAATCCTGCCAGTACCTGCCACAGCGTCAACAGAGGAAAACTTGTCTGATTTTTGCTACAGAATTTCCATATCTGAACCACCAAAAGCAGCAAACAGTGGGTTTTTGTCGTTTTTTCTTCTTTCAAGCTTCTCTCCAATTTAAAAGACCTCTCTTCTTACTCTGAGATGGCTGACTCTAGAGTCATCTTCTTTGTTACTAAGTGCATGTTTGAAACTTCATTCAGTGTTCGCACTATCTTGAGATGTAAACATTTGCCAGCAAAAATCAGACCAGTTTTCTTTCTCCATCAACAGTTCATTACATGGACATGAAACTTACCAAAGTCAGCATCACAGACATATTGCTGGGGATGTTTCCGACATTCGCTAGCTTCAGCATAAGCCATGATGAAAGGCAAGATCATACAGAAGAGAAGCATCTTCGGATGATGCAAAGACAAACCATTGAGTGTTAGCAGCATCATTCCTGGGCTGTTGCTCTGTGCGGACTGCAGGAACAATCTTCTTACTGCAGACTGGTGTTGTGATAAGCTTATTACTATGTTCACAGTTGTCTTGTCTGGACTTTCATCTAATCTGGGGCCCCTTTTATAACTTTGAGCAAGCTGCAGTGAGATGTTTCATCAAGCCCCTCCCACTCTGTGTGGGTGGATTGCAAAATTTCCTGAATCAAATCACCTGCTATTTTGTGGTAAAGTTGGAGTGATTGTTCAGCTGCAAACCTAAAATATTCCAATTATGTTGCTCTTGGTAAGAGAATTCTCCAAAAAACGCAATGTACTTCATTGCACCATTTCTGAAGGGAAAGTCCCATTTCCCAGTTTCTGCAATGGAACTGTTGTTTTTTCTTCCAAATTCCAGGTACATGTAAATATCTGTGTATCTCGATAAATCTGCTTTCATCAGTTTCCTATTTTTTTCAGTTTTGTTATTGTCAATTTGTTTTCCTGGCACTTTCCCCTCTGATGGGTGGGTTAGGCGTACAGCTGTTAAAAAGGAAAAAGGAGATGTGACAAAAGCATGACTGTGCGTATTGGGTGTTAGAAATACCGACATTGTATTTCTGGTTAGGAATTACTTATTGTCGAGTGTTTGCTCCATTGAGCATGTTCCTGGACCAGATGTTCAAAGAACCAATATTCATGTGTTTTGCATTTGTAAGATAACCCATTAATGGAAAAACCTCATTTTGTGAAGGATTTGTAAGATAACCCATTAATGGAAAAACCTCATTTTGTGAAGGAATAAAGTAGAATCTCATGTAAAAGTTATTACTGATGATGAGGACATGCTGTGTTTAATAACAATCCAAGAATTCTTACCATGGAAAGAGGGGACAAGAAGTTGTAAAATTTAGGTCTTTCCTTAGTGGTTTGAAGCAGTGCTCAGAAAAATCCTGCATTATCAGACACACCCTGGCACCTCAGATTAAAGTGATGGGATGACAATGATGTGCCTGGATTATGGAAATCAATCACACAGTACTGATTGCCCAGAACTAGCATTGAGCGGCCGCATGGCTAATCGTGCATGGTGTTTTGCAAGCCACAGATATAAAGGAACTATTCTTGGGTCTGTAATAATAGGATGCTTGGGTAGGTTGTGTACCATCATTGGTAGGGTCGCTTTTGTTACGTGGGAGCTTGACGCACTTTGTGGCAGACTGTCACACCAGCACTTTCTGAAAAAAGTACATAACAAAATTGGATGCACTAATGCTCGGAAATCAGAAAGCATGTTTGCTTATTGTTGTGCAAAAATCTCCCAAGGTCGAAGACACTATTTCATAGAGCAGGAACTACTCTGAAGTACATGTTTCTCAACCAACTTTAGATCACATCGGTTGTCATCAATGCATATTCAACATGTACAAATATGGAGTTGGAAAAATAAATGTGACGTCTAAGAATAGCAGAGATTTGTTTTTTCATGGAAACAGAAACTGGCATTGATTGTGAAAATAGCAATGTAGTGGCTGAAGAAAGAAGTTTGACCAGACTACATACACTCTTGATATTTGTGAACCCCAAGGAGACCGGAAACCAATCCTACCCCACAGGGAGCTGACCACTATTTCATAAACAGTCATTCAGTCTGAACATTCCTGTGTCTGGCATCACGAGGACTAGGGATGTTGGACTTGTTAAGAATTCATTGGGGAAAGAAGGTGCCTTGTCAACCACACCTGAAATAAATGTTAAAAACGATGATGAAATTTAAAACATACAAAGTTGCCAGCATTCCCTGATTGTTTTGCTTACTTCTGAGTAGCACTGGCGGCAAAAAAAATTCTTTTTTTTTTCAACCAAGGAAACTAAAGAGGAGTTCATTGTCCTTGACTGGCAGCTGATGTATCCTGTAAAAGGAACCCTCTGCAGCAAAAAAGCCAACAACACTTTGCATTTTATTTTCCTCAGTATTTGGAACTCAGTATTTGGACTTCCCGTTTCCATTTAAACTGTGAAATAGTGATTGTGGGATGATTTTGGCTGATGAGAGTCTTGCTGATGGCGGAGTTACACTTGTAGATATGGCCCTCCCCCTGAATTAGTATAATGAGAAAATGGGTTTTTATACTGTTTCATTTTTTTGGCTTCCCTAATTGCATTAGGCCCTCCAAGTTTTGGCACATTCCTCCTAGAACATTTATTTTTTTTCATAAAAGAACTGTTGACGGAATACAGACTTCTGAATGCATATGACACCTCCCTTCCTGAAATTAATGGGCTGTAATTTGTCACATTGCATTTGATATTAATCAGCTGTTGAAACTGGTCACCCCTTCCTTCAGTATTTATCAGTGTTATTCATTTGTTCATACCCTCTCCTGTACCAACTGACCATTAATCAAGTCTGTTGTCTTTTTTATTACATTGTATTCATTCCCTGATGAGTCTGTAAAACCATAATGTGCCATATGGGGTGGTTTGGGGCAGCACAGAGGGGCACAGGGAGGAACAGTTTGGGGAAATAATGGATCATTTTGCTTTTCCACTACCTTGTGGATAATGACGTTAAAACACTCGTAAAATGTTTAATCAGCTATTGACCTCTAGATTTTTAATGACTGTTAATCATCTTGGTCACATACTCCCTCTGGATACCAACTGGCTGTTTCATTCCTATCTGAGTACTGATTCATATGCTGTCAGACACCTTTGCCACCCCTTTCTGGAGTACAAAGTGTGTAATACACTATGAGCTTCCTCGCGTCCTGAGCATGAACTGTTGTACATGTCCCAGGAGACCTTACCATCCACTGCTTGTCAATAGATTGTTAATCTTTCATGCAGGGGAATATCTCTTCCCCACCCACACCATTACAAACTTCCGGTTGCCACCTCCAATGGATAAGCTATCAATGCAGAACACTTTTTGAGTGTGTTTCATGTCACAGGTATTTCCTGACAAAACTTATTAAGCAAAGTGGCAGGCTTCCCATGCTTATGGCAACCAGTTTTGACATAAAAAAGGTCTTGACAGAGTGCCAAAATAGTCAAGATTCCATAAATTTTTGTGTAACTTTTAAAAATAATATCTGATACTGTTGAACAAATTAAGAAAGTTTCACTTTCTCTCAAAAATGATTCTTTTATCAGAGATGGGGTGGACATGGTTTTTGCCTGAGTCATAATTGAGTTATTTTGTCCACAAGCTCCCATTTAGGACGGAATCACATCAGCTCTCTCCAAATAGATTAACCTGAAAGTTTCCTTGCTTGCTCTTAAAGTTTGTTTGATGAGGGAAAGAGAGTGCTCCGACTTCCTTTCTTTTGTTAACTTCTTGTGTTGAAAACAGAGGTTGGGAACATTGTATTACACAACCTGCAGTAGTGGAGTGATTTCTGTGCTTTTAACAATTTCCTTTTTGCCCAATGCTTATTGTACGGTATTCTACATCATGCATCTTGTTCCACGTGTAGAAACATTAATGTGAACAATATTACTGTTTCATAAATGTAGCAATCACTGGGCATGGCCAGGATTTTTTACTAGGGGGGGGACAAATCCCTCTTTTGGGGAAGCGGGATTTTTGGAAGGGAGGCAAAGCTTAGCACTGATGAACGATAAATAGTCCGAAGGGGTCCATTTTTAGGTTGTTTCCAAATAAATTGGCAATTTTCATCCCCTTTCATCACTTTTTTTTTCATTTGTTTCACTTTTTCCTTCTTTTTTCCCGTTTCTTTTTTATTTTTCACTTTTGTTTTGAAGGGGGACAAGCATTCCCCTTCCCCCCGAGCAATGCCCGCAGTTAACAACACAGACATCCTCCCATATTCCTCATATTGTCTTCAAAGAATTATTGTCTCATATAGTCTGGTATCTGTGAATGGGAGGGCTGCCAACTCTAACACATTGAGCATGAATCTCTCACATATCAGGATTCTTCTCACACTGTCAAACCCACGAGTGAATTTTCATGCAAAAAATAGAACTAAAACAATGAAAAACATGTAGATACAGTTTGCTCGACTAGCTTCCTTCACTATGGGCAAACCTTGTCTATATCTAGCCCAACATCACTGTATTATCAGGGGTAGTTTTACTGTGCCCCGCCCCCCCCTGCAAAATTTCAAAGACCCCCCCTCCTCCACCTACACGCATATGCCACTCAAGTAAATCATTAGGGACAGTTTGATTTACACCCCCTCGTTACAACCCATCCAAAATAGTCACAGATATTTTCAACCATTCAATCCGAGTCCAACGGAGGGATCTGACTTCATGTTTGTCAATGGTCCCTTACCATGCCAAAGGAACTGACACCAAGTACCAGATGCAAGGGGTCTATTCATTAATATTTGGTCATTTGTCCATTGGCAAATAACTTAATTCACTGTATTACTAATAGTGGTAGCAGCTGGTTGTGATGCTTATTGTCAAGCGAGGGGGTACTTGTATTCACTGTAAGAGTATTCATCAATAGATGAAAAATCCTTTTGCAAGTTAAATTGGAATAGAATTTGGAACACTGAGTTCTTTAAATTCACGTGAACATAAGAATTTGAATTCTCCACACTAAAAACACTGTTGCTATACCTTGTGATTCAGGGCAAACTTTTGCTTAGTTACATAAGAGACGCCTCACAATAATGCACTGTTTTCAATGGATAAGAATGGCACAAAGGAACCAGTCCATTCTTGAGATGGATGTCGCAATGCAAAAGCTTGCCCCGAATCACAAGGTATAGCAACAGTGTCTTTAGTCTTGGGAATTCAATTTGCTACGTTTATGTCCTATCTCTTAACCTAGTGTACCAGACTTTATGCAAATTTAACTCACAAATGGCTTATTGGACTGCATGAAATGGTTTGGCACTGCATCCCCCCCAAACAAAAATTTGATTTGATTTTAAATGCATTGAAAAGTGTTTTGTTGTGGAAAGTGTTTTTAAAAAAAAGATGAAACATCCTGCAAATTAATATATCTTTGAAGTAATTTGAATTTTAAAGCTAAGGGATATTTTTGGCTGTGAGAGGGTGACTAAATTTGCCAAATGTTGCAGGTCAGGTTTCGGTATGAGGGGGCCTGTGTCTAGAGTTGGCCTTTTTTTAAGCAGACTAATCACCAAAACGCCACGTCAAATAACACCATCCACCCAGGCCCACCCTCCACAAAAAAAAGACCTGAATATGAAAGGAAAATAGTCAATGGTTGAGACCCGAATTTTTGACGAATTTAGGTAAGGTTATTTATCACTGATGTCCCTGGATGTTGGCAAGCTGTCAACAGAGGGCGCTGTGACAGATTGAATGCGAAAGAAGCCTGATCTGAGTTTCTGTTTCTACAGAGATAAAAGTAAATGGTGGGGGGTTACGCAACATTCTCAGAAAAAATTCAGATGAAATTGCAATAGCTTCTTGCCCTGTGTCTCACAGTTCTGCCCATAGGTGTGAAAATTAAAATCATTTGTTTATACAAGTTTCACATGGTGAGCTTGAATTTCAAATTGAAGACAGATACGAAGCTGTGAATTCTTTGAATTATCAGGTTGTTCAGGAGGATTTGAATTTGTCATTTTTTTCTTGCTAGCCGAATACTCCAAGAAATATTTTCTATCACCACCCCTCACACACACACACCAAAAGAAAAAACATCATTTTGCCAATAATTTAGTAAATGATACTGGTTTTTATTTGGCTTTTTATGTGTAAGTTGAAAATGTGTATGAAATGCGAGGAAGCAAAGCAAGTTTCTTAAAATTATGCAAACACAAGAAGACATTTGTCATAAAATTGTGCCAAAGAGGTCCATTCATCTTCAAAACAGATAAAGAGAGAATAGCCTAATAACGCAATAAATTGAAAAAGTCTGCAGAAATATCTATGGTTACTGGCATCATCCATTTTGCAATTGAAACACATCTAAACATTGCACAGAACAAGTTAATTTACTTACATACAGCATGCAGCATATATTTTCTTACTTTTGTAACATCAAGTATCACATATCCTTTTTACAAAATGTACATTTCAAGAGGTTGTTTAGGGGTACTCTTTTGAAGGGCTTTGATTTTGTCAATCATATCTCATACAAATATTTGGTCTAACAGTTCGTGATTTAGCTATCTTCTTCGATTGGCACACAAATGACTTCTTTTGCTGTTTAAAAAAAATCATCAAATCTTAAATTTGTATCAAAAGAATACATCAAGACTAATTATTCTATGCTCACCAGGAGATTGTTTTTGGCAAAACTTAGTAGGAATTATTTCATTCTTTTTAAGTACTGTTTACCCAGTATATTAAAACCACCGGGTTAGGGATTTGTTCACAAACTAGGTTACTAAACTTGGTCATTGCAATGTAATTTTTGAAAGAATTATTGTAATAACATCACTTCAGAATTGACTTTCAAGTATAAAAGAAACTGTCATATGAATTCGAGGTACTATGAAATTAAATTATATTTGCTTCCTTTTCTTGGTCATTATCTAAATAATTCTAAAATTGGAATTTTTGATACGTTACAATTTTGCAGTACAAATGTCAGTTAAGTTTTTGTTCAGATGCTTTCTTAAAATTTTTCATTTTAGTTTTCCTTTAAAAAGTCATATTTTTCGTATCGGTTTTTTAAATTTAGAAAAAGTTTATAACTATAACTACCAATTGCCTAAAGGCTTCAAAATTCCTTACAAAATCTAAAAAATTTTGTGAATAAGTGCAAGAATTCTAGGAAGGTTTTTAAACAATTAAGTGCATTGTCAGATGGTGTGATCATCAGCTGTTTAGCCACTGTTCTCCATACTGACGGTGCATATAATCTCTTTCCAGTGTGTTCACCTAAGGTCTGGTATTGTTAGGACATGATCTGAGTAATTTCTGCACAAATGTGTTCAGAGGGGATACGGAACACAGTTTTTTTCCCCAAGTATTTGCACAAGAATATACAACTGTTCTTTGGGGGAGGACTTTGTTACTTTAAAATGTAAGGCTACACCAATAAGCTGTCAGTTAAACCCTTCTTGAAGTATTAAACATTGTCATATTGTCATATTTTATCACTCGTCGTGGAGTTTATTAGCACCATTCATGCCTGCGCCAAATGTACAAAGTTTCATGTGACAAAAAAAGTGGAATTATAATACTGCTTGATATTTGGCTTATGGTTTCTACATACTTGAATAACTCCTTGAGATTATTCAAGGGAGTCTGTTGTGCCTCATCTGTAAGCGTACTTTCATGCATATCTTCATGGTCTGAGGCATGTACCACTTGCATCCTGCTCCATCTTTGATGCATCGTGAATGGTCCGACTCACAGTCCAGGTCATTGTTGTTCAGCATATGGCCGGATACATTCCAAATGCAAGTATTGGGTGTGGTTGCCTGGCAGTTGCCATGGAAACAAGGCTTAATCTGAATGGAAAAGAGATGGAGAAAAGAGAATATAAATCATTCTGTCATATCACATGTCAGAGAAGGATACTATTGAGGAGCCTGCTTCGAATGCATGATACACACTGATGCATATTAAATGTCATGGATGCTAGGTGCTAGCCAATCTTTGCCAATGGCCAGAAGTGAGACCAAAGTGGGTGCTGATTGGTTGGTAACTTGGAGTCCAGTAGGGAAATAGGTGTGGACTGTGGACAGAGTTGTGTCCAGTGTTGTGGTCATATCCATCATACGTCCTTTCACAAGACCAAACATAAGTATCAGGGTGAGCACGGGCAAAGGAATGTTTTCATCAAAGTTCATTTGAACAGCTTGTGAATTGGCATAAGATTTGATGACTTGTGATGGGCTCATGATAGACAGATGAAAACATGCATTGATTTCCATCTTATGTAAGGATTCCGTGGTGCCTGAGTTACCATTTGGCATTTGTGCAGCTCCTTCTTGTTCACACCCTAAGCCCATGTTACGTACCTCACAGGAATCACAGTATTGCTTGTACAAATGCCGGATGCCCTGTCTCTGCTTGCGGGTCAGTTGACTGTACTTGGGCACCCAGTCGCACATGTTAATTGTGAACATGTTCTTCACTTGCTGACCTGCCCATTGCAAAAAGGCAAAAAGTTCCACTGAATAACCAAAGACGTATTTCATTATTTTATAGAGTTGTCTGCAAGGAACAGACCGTGGAACATGTTTTTAACAATTGGAGGATGATAATACCTATAGCGCAAGGATTAATGACAATTTATTTTATCCCATTTCCGCAGCATGGAAATCAAGATTTTTTTAGTGAGTGAGCTACCCAGGAATTTCTGAAGGAACAGGTCTCGCAAGGCTGGACAGTTTCTTCTGTAAAGGACTTGGCTGAAAAATCCTAGAAACTGCTTGAGCTTAGTAAAAATGTGAAAAGAAAAAGTGAAAGCAGGAACTGAAAAATACAACTTCAGACTGACATTACCCTCAGTCACAAAGGCCTGGTCTAGAACTGGGCATGGAAGTGAGGCCATGTCCAAATTGGGCTTCCCACTAAGCTGTGGCTGCATCTATCATCAGCGCCCCCCGTTTTTTTTTTCAGTGGGAAAAGATCTAGACTTCGCTCTTGACAGTACAATGCGGACGCAGCCTTAGACTCACCAGTGAGGATGTAGACTTCATTCTCCTGCAGGGGCATCCCACATGTCTCTCCGCGACGGGACACTAGGATCTCTGCATGCTTTTTGGGCCCCATCAGTTCTTGGCCTTTGAAGACCTTCTCAACACGAACCGTGTACATTCGCACATTGGGATTGGATGTGTCATTGTCTGGTTTCATCTTTGTGTTGTTGTCTGGGAAAACCTTCAGGTCAGGAAGAATTTTGCCCTTGATAACTGTAGACAGAATGACACAAATTTTGGTGCAGATGTCAACGTTTTTGTCGTACAGTACAATTGTGCTAGATTGGATTGAACTAACTCTTACCTGGGGGAGACTCAGTCATATATTTGAATTTTTAAACATTAGAAACTAGTTGTAACTCTGTGGCATTTAACATTCTTGACACACTTTAACCCTGAAATTCTTCATTTGGACTTTTTGCCCTGTGACATTGTATTTATTTTAATATAAATAAATGAATAATAGAAGAGAAATTGGGAAATTGTATTTATGATCAAATCTTGCAAAAATTACCATGGCCTGAATCTTGCTCTGTGAGTTTTTAAATCTGGTTAATGTTGAAATGTGAACAGTTGGTTAGCAAGGGTTTTGCAACAGGAGGAGGTGGCAAGGGATGTTTCCCCCCCAAAAAAAAAATGTACAAAAAGGAGAAGCAAAGCAAATGAAAACAAGGGATGAAAATACAGGTTGAAATTGACACAGTACAAACATTTTGAATGCATGAACAAGCTACATCTTCGTTTCATTAATAATTTGTCTTTCAACTTTTTCTACAGTGACCTTTATCCCTTTCCAGGAAAGAGAGATATACATGTATATGGAATTTAATCCTCATTAGTTTTTTACTCTCCAGCTTAAGAATTTCTGTATGGAAATCTCTCCATCATTTGTTGTAAAATATTATTAATAAGGAATTTAATTTTATGTATTTTCAAGAAATCTATTTCACTCTAGTCATTTATTGACTCGCAGGAGATAAAAGTGAGTTCTTCAAATTTTGTAGAGAAGAGACTACTTATGATTATAAATCAGCTCTTTTGTTCCTTGTACACCTGTCTGTTTTGCTTGATTTTGGCAAAAATGTTGCCATGATAGCAGGTGCAAAGAAGCAACCTAAAAGATTCATACTTTTCATTTTTGTTCCTAACTGATACATACGCCCCTTAACATCCTGTCTGTTCCCCTTATTGCCTGCTGCTGTGTCTTATCAAACGGTCCTTACTGAATCCTTGTTGCAGCATGTATTGCACCTTCAACTTGTTGCTTTTCACCTCCCATTTTGTCTTCACAAATTGGTGTTGTCTTATCCACCTCACCACACTCATATTCAATTTTCCTGTCAACTTGTTATATGGAAACACAAGGCTATCACCCCAAAACAAAGGGGTGCTTTGCAGGTGTAGTGCATTACATCAATATCCTAACAATTTGGCCACCTGCCAAACCTATTATAGTGACTAATTCACTGTTCCTGGGTTCTGCTTTGGACAGAATCCTCTCTGTCTCCAGGGTTTTTGACCAGGGGCGTCTTCAGGGATTGGCTATTGTTCAAACCCTAGGCTTTTCTCTGGTTTTTTTTTTTTGTGATTAGCCATTGCCTTTACAAAAGCTTTCACTCCGGTGATTTGTTGATTCGTCCCTGCTGCATTCTGATTGTTTGTTCCTTGGTTTGTCCCACTGCCTATTTATACATATCTATTGGTTGCTTCTGTGCATCAGTTGAATCGTGACATTTTTTATCTTTATTTAAATGTTAGACATTGTAGGAAACCAATTATTTGAAGAAAGATTTTTCAATGCTTTAACAAACACCTTTAAGCATGCTTACACGCAAATAATTCTAAATGATTATTAGAAAGGTTTTTTCTGCTGTTTACGAGTAATTTACACCTATAACCCAGAAATTCTGTCTGCATCAATTCAAATCTTTTGTTGCATGTCTGTCACCTACCTGTTTTGTTTCTTTATCTTTTTCAGCAGCCAATCAGTCTGTTCTTCGATATGTCATTCATGTTTCCACTGATCTGCTTATTCCACTCTTTCCTTATCCTAACCCAGTTTGGTCATTAATGTTTATTACTTCAACTTCGCATTGTACACTGATCAAGACAGTTTACAACTAGCATCAATCAATTGATGATACAAGCATTTGTACTCACCAAAGTCTGATCGACAGAAGTGTTGTTGAGGGTGCATCGGCATGCAGACACAAGCCCGTCCAACATTCATCTCAAGAATCAAGATCAACAAAGTCAGCAGAAGGCAATTCAATGCGAGCTTGGGCTCCATTCTTAATGCTCTGTGATCGTCCTGATCAGTTACAAATAAATGCAGGCGTTTTGCTGCTATGACAACATTGGAGTCCAGGCACTTGAAGACTGGACTGTTTTCCTGCCAACAAGTTCTGCCTAATTTGCTTCAACCTGTTTAGCAGATAACTACCCCTGTCAAGTTACCACTGCCTTTTATAACTGCTTCTAAAGGAAGTTGTTTGTAGTAAGATTGTTCTCAGTGGATCGAGCTCCACCTACTCTGTGTAGTAGACCGTAGGCTGTGCACATCCTGTCAGTTGGCCTTGGATTAACCAATCAGAGTTCACCCTTGTCATGACATTCACTAGTTAATTGGCTGTACTTCCATGGCGGGAACTAAGTCAGTACCACTACTTCTGGCGCAAGGCCAAATATGATTTGTATAGTAGCGTTCTTCCTACTGAAGCTAGTAATACTTGTTATGTGTTTTGGACACATTTTGTAACCATTTGATTAAAAAAAGCTAAATTGGCAAATTCCTATTTATTATTACCCTGCGGAGGTTTACGCCTTGTTTTATTTGACTGTTTAAGGTCTAGATTTCAGGACAAGGCTTTTTATGCACTGCAGCAGCACTAGATTGCTCTTGATGGATTGGGATATTATGCCTTTATTTTCCAAGCAGTAAATCAGTCATTCCATGAATGTACGACAGTACGTTAATGTTCAAAGAAACGAAATTGACAGCACTGCTTTGTTGAACCTAACGGCCCTAGACTGATCATTGATTGGTCATTGTTTTCCATGGACTGACTTGTATGAAGCTTGTTTTTTCAACACTCAAGTTGCATTTTTCAGATTAAGATTCCATATAGCGAACTGACTATAAAATTTAAGATGACAGCCTCTTTATAAATACAAGTACACAAAGTATGTTAGAATGAGAAATGACAATAGATGTGTCAGGCCGTATCAGTGAGCCTCTCAACAAATTAAGCAGCAGTCTTGTGCCTACTTCTTAAATTAAGGCTTTCCTTCAGAGGAAGTGGATAACATCTAGAGGACATTTTATTTCGTTTACACAAATCCTTTTTAAGCAGCAATAAGTCAGGTAATATGACATATGATTTCCTTTGAGGCAGGAAACGGAGGTTGCACAAACAGCTGTGAAGGTCAGAGGTCAACCATCTCATCGGCCCCCTGTTCAGATACACTTGCCATCTTGACAGGAAAAGTTCTTCAATCATTCTTATTGGTTTTAAGATTCTTATGGTTTTAAGGTTGTTCCATTAGTACACTTCCCTTCAAATCACAACTTCCACTCGGATTTGCGGTAGTTTTGTTTTGACAAATCTGTTTCCTTCTGCGTTTCTCATTGAAACAGTCACTCAAAATCCTCAAATAATTACTTTTTCTAAGTTTATATTTTTTGGGGTGAGATATTGATTGCTTCTTAATTTATGACGGGTTAGACGGGAATATAGCTCTTGTATTTCATGGCTCATGTATCTTGATGTGGTTATTAACATGAGGAGTGGCCTTCTTTGAGATGTCAGTGTCCTTCAGTTGTTTGCCCAAAACTTTTGAATGGGTATAATTTGAGGATCCTGCAGACAATGACATTGAACTGGCAGAAAATCCTGATGTGATTCAGTAACCACAACAAAGCATTTCAATGAAATGGGTATAACTTGGTGGAAGATGAGTCACCTTTGGTTCATCCATGATTCAAACAATAAGGACATCATCTGTAGCCCGTGCAAGATATCTACTGCTGTGATTTTGGACGGGGGATGATAGTGTGGATTTTTCTTTTCCCTTTTTTTTGTGGACTTCAGAAAGTCTCAAGGTCTTCGAAAGCAACTTTTAACTGAAATAATCCATCCTTTTTAGAAATAATTTTAATTCCAAACCTGGATCTAGCCAGGAATATAAATGGCAGATGTGTGAAAGAAAAGTTGCTTACAGGTGGTTAACGCTGCCTTTTTTTTTTGCAGAACTGACTAGCGTATTGCCAATACTTTTATTTCACCATTACACTTTGACTTGTCATGCAGATGTGTGATTTTGATTTCTGTCACCCCTTAACCCTAAAAGAGCCGAGATATTTTGGCCAATCTCACAGCCCAGGGGGTATGAGTTATTTTTGGCCCATCTCAGGGGGGGGGTAAACTTGGCATGCATGTAAAGACACTCCTTATCATTTCATAAATGTGAAGTTTGAACTCAATCAAACATATAGTTTGTTGTTATGGTCATTTGAAGTTCAAGGCTACATGCGTGTCAGCCCACTTGATTGAGCGCTGCTTTGAAAAAAGTATACAATTTCAGCTGACACATCTCAGAAAAATGCGGGCTGCACAAGAGCGGTGTGTCCGATTTTCACAAAATTGGTGTCAAAATGACCACAAAGAATTACTTTCATAACTCCAAAAGACTCAACTCTTGAAAAAGTGTACTGCAGCGATAGCAGGAAAAGGGGGGAGGGAATTCCCAGAAATTATTTCTTTAGGAGATAAGGCTCCATATTTTGTAATTATATTAATTGCATAATTTGGAAACAAGACATATACAAAATCGTTTGTGGGCCCTGCCAGTGTACACGAATGGTAGATTAGTTTGGTTGGGGAAGATGGAGGTTAAAAACAGATGAAACTCAGCCAGTTGGCGTTCTGATTAAATTGATTTTATTGACATCACTTCTTCTCACCAATGAACTGTTTCCTTTGTTTGCATCTTGTAAGATATAATTTTTAAAAATGCACTTGCGTCAGGGAGATGTTAAATCTCAATTATACTTTTTTCTTTACTTCAATGTGTACTCATACCATTGCGTGTTCAGTGTCATCTGAGAGCTCCCAAAAGCTTTAGTACTTGGGTGGGACTCGAACCCCTGACCTCCTGCTTTCTAATGAAAATATCTGAACCACTCCACCACCGGGTTTGTTGTAGTCAGATGGCATGTCTCCATCAGATGTAGCAATGGGTGCCAAAACATCCCACAAACCCGCTTGTCGAGTGGTTAAGCCGCCTGCACTAGTAAGGAGGAGATCATGGGTTTGATTCCTACCCAAGTAAGCTTATTTTTTCACAAGCTCTTGGGCAACACTGAATACACAGTGTTGTGAATTTACATTGGTTTAAGGATAAAAGTACTAGGTTAGTTTCACATCTTCTTTCATTAATTTTGTAGTAGCAGGTGAGGTGAAATTGTTTTATCCTGTTTTTGGATCAATAAAGGAGATCAGATCCAATGTAAAATCAAGTTAAAGGGTATGAAGGGTCTATATATATATTTACATTTAACTGCATACAGTGCATATATACATACATTTATGAACAGTACCACATCATCTATTGACTGAAGAAGTTTACTAACCAGCAATCCAGAATGATTTACTGCAGCTCTAAGATAAACAACAGAAAAACCAAAAATATATATATACAATAAAAAAGTCATTCAAAACTGAGGAGAAACAACAATAATAAATCCAGTATTAGCAGAGAGTTTGTAAACAGTCCTTAATTAAAAATGAACAATACATCCATTAAAACAATAAACATTTGGAAGTTTGAAAAAAAAATAAAGGAAAAGGTACCTGGATGGAGGGGGAGGGTTGTATTTAGGGTTCAGCGAACAAGAAAAATAGTACATCAAACTTTTGGGAGTTGACAGATTTGACGTGGATTCAACCTTGGGGGAAAATGTGCACAGGTGCACAGCCCCCTGTTTGAGGGTCATTCCCAGGTCAAGATTAGGAGGGAAGAAATGAATCATCATCCCCTTGCACTTTCCTGGACAGAAGATCAAACCATGAACCTTTTCTCCATGTGTTATATCTTGTATATTCAGTGACATAGAGGTGGGGGAGGCATGTGTCTCCCTCCAGGTTTATGCCCCTTCACCAGGGTGCCCCCCCCCCTCCAAGACATTTTGAAATGTACATCACCTGTGTGCAAGCTGTGGCTTATCAGCTTTCGATGCACCCCTGGAAAAAGGGGGCACAGCCCTGAAACGGGTGCAGGCCTGGCTGGCCTCCACCCTGGATAGTTACCCTAGTTATGTCACTGTATGTGTTAAATGTGTAGGACTGACATCCTCGAGTATATTAAAAGGCATAGCACAAATTGTATTGGTATTATGGGGGGGTGCAGTACGTGTATCGTATGGACTTTCATATTTATACAGCTCACACCCTCATTAAAGAAACTATTATCTTTCATGTTCAAGTCCTCTTCGCTTACCAGTCATTAGTCAGCTCTGTCATTCTACAACCTCCCCTCTCCAAATTTATCAACAAATATAGATATAGACTTGATTTGGCACTCTACTCGGACTTATTAGTTTGATGAGCAGTTTCCTTTCCCCGTCAAAACACTTCTGTGTAAATAAACAAGGGAAGTTTTGTCCTGTGTATGATGTGACTCCAAACCTTGTCAGACTGCATGCTGTGGACTGATAACAATCCTAGGGGTGCTGATGTTTTCAGATATATGGCCTGTCAAAATCTGTTTACTCCAATTGTTGTTGGATGAGGTCGTTATTCGGTGTGCATTGATTTAAAAACCTCCTTGCTTTCTGTGACAGAAGCAAATAAAGGAGGGAGGAGAGGTGGGGAATCGTCGTAGTCCATTAACACTACACAGTCCACAGGTTAGCCTTCTTTCCAGTTTGCAGTGCCATAGCTGTTTTTTTTAAAAAAAGATGTATACACATTTTATGGGGTTTGTAGTTTCCGGGTTTTTTGGTTTTGTTCAGATAATAAAGTCATCAACACTATGTTGATACATTTATTGAATAATACTCATAATTAAACTTTTGTATAGCTACTTGCTTCATGAGAAGGGAGACATGGTGTTGATAGAGTGGCCTAAATGTGACAAAGAGTCAATGTTTCTTTACAGAATCTACTCTATTTACCACCAAGCAAAGTTCTGCATTTTGCCCCAGATATAGTTATAAAGTCCCCCACCCCACCCCCATTGGGGGAATTTCCCCTCCCTTGACAGTCATCCTTCACGTTTTCACATTACACAGTAAAGTTTCATACAAAAATTCTGATGATCTATGAGCATTTGTAAGAACATTTTCGTATTGATGTGCTGACAGCCCAAACCAATAGAATAAAGATGTGTGCGTTTTATTACCTTTTCTGGTCATATTTATGGCAGCTGTTATTTTCCTGAAATTGAATGGATATTTCCACCTTCTGAGTTCCTAACTCCAGCTGACTTTAACAAAATAATAAAAACACAGCTCCAACCGTTCAATTTATTTATTTATTTATTTTTGGGTAATTTTGTAAGGTTATGTAAATGTGGGCCATATTGAGACTTTTTGCTCCTCTCACTTTCTGTGTTTCAGCTTTGAAACTGTTTCAGCTTTTTTAAACAATCACCTTTCTGTGGAGGATTGTTCATTGTATGTTAATAACTTTGTCATAAATTGAACTGTTCAAGCAAACCTTCACTTTCAGAATGGCAAGTCATGGCAATGATGATTATCTGTCTTCATTTCTCCTTTCTGTGAACTTTGTTCATGAAGAAAGTGTCCTTAACAAGAAAGCAATTTTGCTCTGTTTTTGTGCCTGCATCATTCCTGTCTTGTGGTTGTGCAGTTAACATATATTCACTTGTCATCAGCGCCTTTGCATGTGTTGTCATGCCCATAATTGCACTCGTTGACTATCACTTTGTAACATACAATCACTTTGCTTTATTCTTTTCTTCTCTCCTGTTAACACTGTTATTGTTTTTCATAGTCATAAACAGTTAATGGTTAAAAAACAAAAAAATGTCCAATTTTTGTGAAATAAGACAAAAAGTGAAGCCTCGCTATTAACATGTCTACCTGTGGCCACACCCTTGGTTTTGATAGGCTAAGATAGATCTGGCCACTTTGACGCATGTGAGTATAATATACTTATGACATACAAATAAGTAATGGTTACAGGTGAGCATATCCTAGCAAGCAAGTTGTCTGGCTCACAAGCAACACTGTCTGGTGGCTGCCTGGAGGATGATGCACTGTGGAATAATTAGCATCAGCCGACAATTTCAATGTGAAAATGGGACTGATTCTTGACAGTATCGTTAAACTGATATTTATAAATACCTCAGATAGTAACCTTATTCAACAACACACAACGTGACTGTGTATTTAAACATTTCATGATGCCTGCTGATATTTGACAATGCCTGCTGTGTTAAAAAATGCTGTGGCACCTGGATATGAGACAGTTTCATCCATCCCTATTGGTCAAGAGTCTATGTGCGACACGGCACGGCAACACACCACGCTTACGCCAAGTCCATATATGGAGATTCTTCTGGATGGCTTGCATCAGGAATATACCATATAGTGGACAGGGGTGTTCAGGATAATGAACGTACACTTCTAGAACAAAATAGTTGGAAATCTATCATACATTGACTTCTTTTGACTCTCCGACTAAAAATAGGTATTTATTTATTGACTCTCTGAATTAAAAAAATGGTATTTTTGAATGGGAATTAACATGTGCTTGGCCGGTCTTAAACTAACGTTTAAGTGAGGCTCAGCATGGTCGCATCCATTCTCTTGAGACCGGCAAAGCACATGTTTATTCCCTTATTAAATGACCCTTTTGCAATGATGCAGCTTATACTGGGAGCACTTGATATTGCATTTTTCTTTTGTGCAAAAAATGGGGCCTTCGCATTGTATTATTTATTTATTTATTTATTTATTTATTTATTTATTTATTTCTGTACCTACATTTTTAAAAATAGCTGTTCATGCTCTGTAACTTTTGGCCTTAGTTTTCCCAGAATACCTGTTGACAAAACCTCCTACTTGTTCTGTTTGATTCTTTTCATGAATTCCAAAAGTGTAAACTCTGTTGGCAGGGAAGCTACTCAAATACACCCTATCAGTACTTGATCCAAAAAAATCCTTAGGAAACGTCAATTCATTTTGTGCAGTCTCACGTCAGTCAGTTTTTCTTATTATTGGTTAATGTGATGAAATGAGATTTGAAAAAAAACTTTCAATAAATTAAAACATTAAAGCTGCATTTTGTTTACTTATCTTTTGCTTTATCACTTATTTTTTAACTAATCAAGGCTCTTTTGTTCTTTTGGAAATGTCTGCCATGTCTATCTAAAATTTAAATTTTTTTATTAGGATGTGTTGTTGACTGTCATTAATCTTGTTTCTTCCCTTTTTATTCCTTTCCTTTCTCATCCAATCACAACACACGTAGACTCTTAAGTCAGGACAGTGTCGTGCACACATGATGCAGGTACATGTCAAGTCCTGTCACCAGTTATGTTGGATACCAGTTTTGTAGTTGTCAGGATAATGACTGTTAACCAGTGATATGCATGCATCGTTCCCTTTAATCCTTGAATGAGCAACTCAGTGACATACTAACTGAAGGAAGGTGTCAAGCCACCAGAAGATCAGAAGACAGACATCATGCTTCATTCCCTGGTCTGTTGAGTATCTCTGCAATAGCTTATCAACAGATTGGATGGAAGGGACCTCAAACTCCAACTACCAATTTGAAATGATGATGCTAGACTAACCCTGAGCCATTCTCAGAAATGCAGTGTGAATCGGAATTATGCTATTTGGAGAGCTTTGAAGCATGAGATCCTTAATAGCCTAGGATTTTGATTTTGCTGCTAAAAGCGAAATGCTTGATCTAGGGGAAAACAGTACTGTTTCTCAATTGATATGAGGTTAGATGATATGAATGAAGACAAATAGAGTTATGTAACATAGCAGAGAAAATTTTTTCTTAGTCAGTTTCCAGACTGAAGCTACCGCAAAATGATCTTGAATAACTTTCCACCCTGATTCTCAACCTTTTATGAACTTTATGTTATTTTGTTTTTCTGCAACTCATCTCATGGTCTTCAGTATAAAAACTGTATTTCAGAATCAAGATCCATATACATTCATGTAAAAGAAATGCGTGGAGGGAAATAACTAGTTTCACCATTACCTCTGAGATCTCTCAACTAATTCAGTTTGCACCTTCTATATATAAGCATGCAAATGACTTTACTTTCCTTTCATCAGTGATGAGTGTTCTGTTTTTATTTTTTCTGTTGTTATTCTTATTGCTTGTCAGAGTGATATGTTTCAATTGTTGCTGAGAGTCGAACTTATAATTTTTTGCACTTCTTTAGAATGTCTGGAAAAGACAACTCTTTGTTGATGGTGCTCTAAAATGGTGCATCCAAATCTTAATTTTATTTTCTAACTATTATTTTGAAAAACATGATTTTGTCAACACGTCCATAAAATGTGCATTTTTTTTGTTACATTTATTTTTGGCATGGTCAGTGCATGATATCATTGCTTTGTTGGAGAATGATATTCATTGCATTAGTTTGTGTGTAATATATTTCTCTTGCTGTGATTGTGACAGTTCTTAAACCTTGGTGCATGAAATGCATGTGACTTCCTTGTCAATTGGCCTTAGTTCCATCGGTCCTATGTCCACCATCGGTCCTATGTCCACCATCGGTCTTATGTCTCATCGGTCCTACATCCCATCAGTCCTACATCCCATATTGGTCGTACGTCAAATCAGTCCTAGTTCCTGTCTGGCCTACTTCCCCATTGGGGCAACGTTTCATTGGTCCTACGTCTCATTGGTCAGATGAAACACAATACTGTGTCATTCCACTAGTTCAGCTGACTGCAGACATGTGACATGTAGGATAAACTGTAGTCTGGTCTTTTGTGCGCGACTACAGTTTGGTGCACATATATTCGTAATCTTGGAAAAGTATTATGAAGGTGATTTCTTGAACTGAATTTGGCCTGGAAAGAGTGTTTGATGGTATTCATTATTGTCAAAGGAGATCAAATATTATCATGTGAACTAGAGGTTGGGATGTTGGATAAATAAAAGTTGTTTACAGCAACTGCTATGCATTTTTCTTCATTAGTTTCCTCTGTGAATGTGATATGAGACCAATGGGACGTTGGACCAAAGGGATATAGGACTACCGAAATGTCCCCAAATGCTTCCTTAAACCTGATGTAGTCATTCTTTGTTGGATGCTGAAGCTGTGTTATATTGGGTCTGTAATGAGTATGCTCCCCCATCAGTTGTGAAGGAAACCCAACCTCTACCGACGCAGGAAAAGTCTGTTCACAGCTTGAGGTTGATCTTGGATCACTTCCCAGAATTTGAGCGACGTTTCAAAGACTGGAGAAAACAGTGAAGTTGAAAGTTCAGATAATAAACTGTTGACAGATGGAAAAGTTTGATCTAGGTTATCACCCTCAGTCATTCATTTTGAGTGATTCCTTTGTTCTTTTATTCCTTGTTGTAGTAGTAAAATTGGTGTAGATTGCCATGGTGTATCAAAGAAACTTGATATTTTCTTCTGTATTGAGAAACGAATTGTTTAAATTGTTGATGTTTAGCACTGGTATCAGTTATTTTACTAATCTGGCATGCTTATCTGAATTTGAAGGAATGTCCCAGAGCAAGACAACAGATAACTATATGAAACCAACGTCTACAGAGATATTGACTAAACCTTGCTCATGAACAATAGTTGTTTGCCCCCTTACATTTAAATGTATGTTTATGTTTTTTAAAAAAGATACTAATGATAGTGTACATGGTGCCCTTAAATCCTGCCCTATTGATTTCACCTTCCTTTTATGATTTGATTTTAATCAATGAATTCAAGTATTTGCCAGATCTATGTGACAAGGGACACATTATGTTCATGGTTGATCCTGAATAATGTTAGAGGCTCATTCATGACAAGTACCAGACATCTCTTTTGTTCAACTTTCCCGTTATACAAGCAGTTCCCACAGTTTGCATATGAACTTTTTGATGAAATTTCATCCTGAATTATCCCTTTTTGTTGAATAACCCCATTTTGAGTTGTTAAGGCCACTGCAAGTGAAACATTTTCATGAAGATATAGAAATAGAAGAGATTTTCTCATGTCTTTGCTGCTCATTAGAACTGACAGTATCTCTCCTGAAAGGTCAACAAAGTATCACTCATTTTACACAACGTATAATACATGTAGTTTCATATGAGTAAACACCAGAATATTCAATTTCCATACTGTCTTTATTAAGAGATAGCATATGTGATCTGATTTCCCCCCACAGCTTTCCATATGTCTAGACCTCATTGTCATCTTTTGAGTTTGTATTTTGTTATTCGTGATGTCTATTTTTTTTAACACAGATGCAGGATGTAACTCCTGTCTAGGATTTGGGATGTTTTGTCAATTTGGTTCTGTGTTTCATATTGCACTGTGACCTCACATAATGAAAAGGTTTAGGAAATGAAAAGGAAACCGACCATGGAAATTGAGTATCACCAAGTTTTTGGTATCTCTCAGAATCACACTCACATACAAAAACTGGAAAGAATCTGACGAAATTTCTGAAACATTTCAATGGCCAATCAATGAAATTGTTATCAGATCAGACTAGTGCAAGAAAACGGAAGATGTTTTGTTGACAAGTGATCACTAGAGCCAACATTTTTGGATCAACTCTCTTCCTTTCGGACAAGTGTGGGTGTGTTCTGCGTCATTGAACCTCAATTTTTAAAATCTTAAGCTCGAATAAAGAGCAATGCTATTTGCCCATAAATAGCAAACTGCATAAAAGTTGTCTTTTCTATACATCGACTAAATGAGCATTTAATTTCTATTCTTCCTTTTCCTGCAGTTAGCTAATCCCAGGTTCCCTCTGGTTGTCAAAATTGGCCATGCACATGCCGGAATGGGAAAGGTAGGATTATTTCTCAGACTATCAACAAATGTTTCATTTTATGAAAGTATGAATTTTTTCGCAGCTGAGAGGAAACATTTCAAATCTCCTAGATTTGCTTTAGATATGTCATAACTCTGTTTACGTACATCATTTCAAAGAGAATAATATGAGTTGCTTTTAAAGAAATATTTGGTAGATTGATTGTTAAAACTTTCTGTAACACATTGGAATAGCATGACAAGTAAATTTTCATTTACCTGTATAAATTAGCTGGACTGGCAAAATATATTCATTGACATATTTTAACGTCGTGCACATATTTAGTTATTCATGTATATACAATTGGCTGTGATATCAGTTCAATTGCTCTGTAAATATCCAGTAGGGCCTTCAGAAGTTAAAGTTGAGTTCACTGAAGATCAATCTGTCAGCATTGAGCTTAACCAAACTGTCACCAAAGGTGCAGGTGAAACAGCAGGCTCCCAAGTTTGCAGCCTTGCAGCAGAAATTGAAAGTGAAGCTTAAGACGCAGGAACTTTGCATTTATAATTGAACAGGAAATATCGGTTGTCCTCCCCGAGGGTTATAAACATCACAAGACCATTGCTTAGCCCAGAGAAACAATTGGGAAACTTGTAGTAAAGTGAGATGTTTGTTGTTGGTTAAGGCAGTGAGTCATTTGCATGATGACTTGTGGGATTTGCCATCTATTGTTTCTAGTATGATTCTGAAAATTGTGAAAGGGTTGTACCCTGGAAGGTTGGAACAGGAATGGGATGGGGTCACATACAATGCATCTTTTGGAGCACCCAGGGGTGAAAACGTTTTTGTAAGGGGACTCCAAAAACAAAAGAATTGTGGCTTATATATAGGTTGTGCTTACTTCAAGATTTAGAAGAGGGGGGGTGGACCTAGGGGGCACTGACGTCACTAGGGGGATGTGTCCAGACCACTGACTATTTTCCAGTCAAAAGTTGCTTAGGGGTTTTAACAGTGATACATAATACCTTCCATTCCCTACTGGGAAACAGGTTACTTCCACAGAGTTGGTAAGCCTCTCATCAGTGCTTGTAACCCCTGATGGTGGGTAGGCTGCATTCCCTGGGTGAAAACAAACAAATTAATTCCGTCGCAGCCAACCAAAAAACACTCACTTTGTCAAAAATGCATCAGATACATGCTCTTTTAACTGTTGGTGAACATCTTTGTTTCCATGGTAACAGGTGAAAGTAACCAACCACCAGGATTTCCAGGATATCACCAGTGTTGTATCTATCACTAGCTGTTACACGACGACAGAATCTTTCATTGATTCTAAGTACGATATCCGTGTACAGAAAATTGGCAGCTTTTACAAGGCATTCATGTGAGTATGTAAATGCCTTGATGTAGCACAATTCTTTTGACACTGCTCCAACCACCCAGCCCACCCCCTCCGTTCCTCCCGACCCCAGCTATCTCTGCCCGTCCACTTCACTTTTGAAGTCTGTTTCATTATTGCCTTTCGACCTCTTTATATTTTGCTTGGTCTGCTGGACATTCCGTCAGGCATATTTCAGTTGATGTTGTGTTGTATTAAAAACTGCCAACATGAAAACACAGGTGTAGTAGCATGCACTGGATAGAATTTATCAGGAATGAATTGCAGACTCAAATGTTCACTCAAATACCACAGAGAGTTTTTGAGACACTGTTGCTATGGGGAGGCGATTTTTTCCTTCAAATTCAAGCACGGTGGATACACCAACATGCCCACAGGGAAACATTTTGTCATGATGTCAAAGGAGAAGAACCATAGTCTGCTCTGATACACCTCCAAAAACATTTTTGGGGAAAAACAGGAAACAGGAAAAGGGAAGATGCCATAAATCATAGAAAATGACATTAGAAATAAATGAAACTGAAGCTTGAAGTTGTAGTTTTAGTCTCATAATATCTTGGCATGTATCTTGACACCCACAGAAATCTGTCTTATCAGTGAGCGTTCACTCTGTGTGCAAGCACGCACAACAACAACACCGCATCCAGGGCCCTATATATCTTGCCACCCAATTTTCGTTTTGTCCAGGACCCTCTTTTTCTAGCCACAGTGACAGTCAATTTCCCCTTCCAGGGCCTTTTTGCTAATTTAATAAAACAAAGCCCCTGGATCCCAGCCAGAATGCCATATTTTGTAGTCAGTCAAGGAATCTTTTTTATCATGTAGTATTTGACTTTTTTTCCATCCAGAAGTAAAAAATTAAAGCATAGGCCTGCCAGGCTCTCTGGGGATGGGTACACTGGCTCTCTGGGGATGTGCAAAGTGTACCCGTATGCCTTGTCACTGTCACCTTCCTTCCCCCAACGAGATAAACTTGACCCTTGAAACAGAGAAAGGCTGCACACCACAACTTTGGAAAGCTTCAAGTACACTGACTGAGCTGCATGCAATATTTGTGTAAAGAATGAATCAAGACAATAAGGAAACTGTTTGAAAAGGAAGCTCTCCTTAAAATGTAAAAGTGGGTTGGTAGTTTGCGTCAAGCACAGGAGGAGGAGTCAGAAAAGGTTTGGCAAACAACATCGCGGCAACACCACTCTTGGCTGAGGACCAAGTCTTGAGGTAGTCAATGGGACGTACGCATGTCAGTGAGTCAGTTCCAGGAATGCACCTGACATTTGTGTTACGTTAATTGGTCAGGCACTTGTTTGTAGTTGTACGCCACCTGTTTAATGTTTTATTCTTGTAGAGCTGAATCCAGGTCTTACTTGTGCTTCATATTTGAAATTGTAAAATTTGGTTTTGACTGAAGAGTGTAAATGATTTCCCCCTTGCTTGCTGTGGTAGAAATCAGAATGAAAAGGGGGTTGCATTTACTTTTGGTCATTGTAGGGAACTTGGTGAAGTGTTAAGATGTGCGGCCCTTGTATTGCAAAAAAAAAGCCTAACATGAAAAGTGGCATATCGAGAAAATCAAGTTTAAACATCGATCAACTGCCTTTTTTTGTTAATAACTGTTTCGTTTTGCAAATTAATGGGATTACAAGGGGTATGTTATTTAAGAAATATTTCATTTTTCTTCCAGCTTTGACTGTAAATATATGGCTAGTTTCAAAATTATGATGTAACCTGGAAAATTTGAATTTCAAGTTAGGCTACTTTGCCATTAAAGGGCCGTGTGGGGCTTGTGCAGGATTGGTTATTCCTTTCTCAACTGATAGATTTGTTAGGTTCTCAATCTGCTTATTTCCTTCTCAATTAAAGGCTTACAGATAAGACCACCAGCCCTCTTCTGCAACAGATATATTCATTAAGCTCAGTCACATGGTGTTCTGGCAAATCCCAGTCATGATTTCTATCTGGCATGGATGCTTATGTCACAAGTCTAACATATATGTGCACATGCACGATGATGCACACAGTGCAGCTGGAACATGCAGTGTGACATTGGGCATGTAGAAGGAGAGTATTACTTTGGCCACCTCCTCATCAGACGCACCTCCTCATCAGTTGAAAAGAGCCATGTTGGTCAGGCGCATTCATTTTGTTGGTAGCAATGCGACTGCAATGCTTGGGCTTCCTGGTCGTTTGTGAACCAGCGATGTGCAGTTAGGACCAAAAGATCCTCCTTTGCTTAGGAAAAAGCACCCTGTCTTAGTCCAGCTCAAGGCCCATACTTTTTGGCTTCTTGTGTAGTGTCTCATCATCATGCTGGGCATAGACCCATGAATGTTCCCATGGATTCACCCAGATTTAGTTTGAACTCAGCTCAGATATCTCATACATATGAAGTAAGGTCGGGTGCCCAGTCTCATGGACATTTCAGTGCCATTGGTTGTGGAATCAGTGCATGCAATGCATGTCTGTCAAGATGGTGGTGTGAGATCCAAGAGCTCCCTCACTCATCCATACATTTAGAGTCTGTTTAGAGGTCATTGTGTGACCTGGAAATAAGAGTCAACAATGGGCATTCCTAGTAACACTAAGACGCATTAGTAGGAGGAGTTAGGATGGGACATCACATTCATCAATTTGGTTTGCAAATTGTCACTCTCATGAGCTTGATCTTTTAACCATCAGGCAATATAAGAGGTCATTTTTCCTTGAAGTCCCTTTTAATTGGAAAGCAGTTCACATTTGTGTCACAAAACTTATGTTGGCAGGAAGCCAATCCCATTTTGATCAAAAGCCAGATTAAAATCCAACCCGTCCACCTGTTTGTCTCTTTTGTCAAATGCAGTTGGACAAGATGGCCACCCGGAGTGACAATGTCACCCATCATTCCCAATAAAACACGGCAGCTAAGCATTTCTGAAAAGGTCATGCCAGACAGATCCACGGCTTCATGCTCTCATTTTTATGTGTGTTACTAAGGAACCCAAGGATAGCAAGCTAAGGAAGATGGGAGTTCAATTCCTGAGTTGTAATTGGCAGGAAGTTCATATAATGACCTCCAGGGTAGTCTGAATTATTCCCAGGTTTCTAAAACCAGAGGTATTGTGCTCACTGAAGGTTTGCCATGGCAAACACATCTGAAGGGGATTCAAATCTGCATGATCACTCTTTTCTATTAATGCATTCATGTAATGTACAATGACTTTTACACGTTTTTCACCCAGAAGATTTGAAAAGTTCAAATACAATTCATTCATGGAACATGCAGTTTACTTCAATTCGTTAATTTAAAAAAAGCTCAAAAAAAATTATTCTGTACTTTTGGCAGGAGATTAAATTTTCATGATTGCTTTTCTTTTGTCTAAGTGAAGTTCTTTCTGATGAAGCTGTCAGTATTAAAATTAAGAATTGAAGTTTGCACATTTTGCCATTAAAAAAGAGTTTTTTCTTTTATTTTTCAGTTTTTCATCATTGTCAATCACTATTTACTGAGATCCAGATTTTTTCATTTGTTTGCAAAACGTGATTGCTTATGTCAAGCTGGAATGTTAAAAATGGGCATTTTGAATGTTGCAAATAACAATTTTTCTTTGGTATCTAGCATGGGGCTTTAAATAGCTTCATTATATTTTTAAATTTTTATAGTAGCAAAACCCCACACATAATGAGGGAACAAGGTTTAACATGTATACTTCGCTGCATGCAAAAAAATGTGAATTTTAATCGTTTTTTATAATCTGCACTAAAGTTTTTCATTTATAACTTTACACCATGCTTATAACGGCCATGAAATGATGGTTTGGTTAGCAGTGAGCATACATGAAATACACTGTGTAGCACTGTAACACAGGGGAACCAAGGCTTGATCTATTTGACTGACTTGTCTTGGTGTTGTATGATGGCTTCTTGTAAGTATCCTCCCTTCCTAGGATTGGATGGTAGCCCTTCCTTGTTCCACAAGCTTGTGCACAGTGTGCTGATTGGTCGTTCAGTAATTCCCAAATTGTTTATGGCACTCCGAGCAGAACAACAGAGGATGTGTTTTTTGGTACTCACTGCATAGGCGCGCGTTTATGATGGAGATCAGTGGCACGTTTGACACAGAGCATGCTCAGTACACGTAACAAATTTATTCCTTAATGTGTGGCCTTTGCATACACACAGAACGCGTGCAAGAATCCGCTTGGAAAACTTACTACCATCTGTCTTTCTTTTGCCGCTTGGGGGTGCACTTCAACTCGAGGCTAATCAGCGCTTAACAGACAATTTCTTGTAGAGTTTTTTTTCTGCACTTGGCCAGCAGGATAGGCACCAATCTTGGCCCCAGTTGTCCTTCTTTTTTTTATTTCATTTTTGTACTATCCCCAGGCGAACATCCATCTCAGGACACTGGAAAGCAAACACAGGATCAGCAGTTGTGGAGCAAATAGCCATGACAGAAAGGTATTAAAGAAATCACTTCTGTAAACATGCCCCACAGCTCTATGCATGTCTCTATTCTCATGTTTAATCTGTTCAACCATCCATAAACAATTAACCCAATCGTCCCCTCCTCAAATCACACTTTTGTGAACGCCAACATTGATGGACCTCCCATTTGTACATATTGTTCGTACTTGTAACTTTTAACTTTTAACTTTTAGTGAAGGGTAACCTTAAGATTTATACTCATTTTTCCAATCATGTACACACCCACTCCATGATTGGTCCACCCACTAAAGCATGCTCTTAACTTTGTGACTGACAACTACCCGTCCTTGCAGTCACCCATCGGCCAGCCCCCAACCCTCTTCTGAACTTGTGCTGCGTCTAGATCTTGTTGGGGAAGGGGGCAAATTTTTTTTCCCCTAAAACAGTTGTCTCCATTTTTCATCTGTAAAGAATCCTCGACCCCTCATCAAGAAAGGTCGTGTTCTACCATTTCCTAATGACACCATCAATTCCTTTGAAAAAAAGAAAAGAAATTGGCGACACTTTCCTGAGATGGGTGACTTCCTCCATCCCTCTTCCCCACCCCCTGTTATACCATTGTCATGAACTCATTATTACGTTGCCCGCTTATCCCCTAACCAAGTACTCCTCTTGTGCATATTCATTTTGATATTGATACGATTTGTCCATTATGCAGATTCAAGTTATGGGTTGATGAATGCTCGGAGTTGTTTGGTGGCTTGGACGTCCTAGCAGTTGAAGCAATTCACGGCAAAGATGGCAAAGATTACATAATCGAGGTATGTATAGATCAGATCTCCTCAATCTGTAGAGGAAACTAAAACAGAAACTTTCAGACAAGGTGTTGCAAGGAATTAAATTTATTAAACATGACCTCTAAATTCACATGAACATTTTCTTCCTTTAATGAGAAGCAGACTAAGATCTTCTTTGTGGCAAGTTACTTTCAATGCATGACAACGATTTTAGTTGTTTCCATTATTTTCAACGATAACAATGATAATAATATAACACATTTATAGAGCCTATTTCAGAGCTAATAGGCTTTCAGTGCACTTTTCACCATGCTTACTCAGCCCAAAACATAGCCATGAACTATCCCAGCTCGCTGGGCAGTGTACATTCATCGTTGCAACATTTGCAGGTGTTACCAGGTTAATCAATTAAAATAACTCACCCTCCCCTCATAGGGACAGTGAAGTACCCATTTATGCTCCCAGGAGCATAGAGGCAAATTTTGTGCAAGGTCAAGACATATGCCATATCGAAGACACTGAACCCCAGCCCGTTGATCAGAAGTAACAAAGCATAACCCATGGCCACACTTGCTCATTTTTGGCAAAACTACCCTTTTTGGTGATAGTATAAGGGTCTGGAATGTACTTTAAATGTTTGTCAACATGTTTCATGCCTGTAGGTGAATGATTCTTCTATGTCATTGCTTGGAGAAAACCCAGAGGATGATCGGAAACAGATCGCTGATCTCGTGATTCAAAAGATGCACGCTACTCACCTAGCAAACTCCATCAGGTAAGGATGTGTTCTAAATGGGCTTGCAGAGCCACAACTACGCCTTACGTCAGCCTGTAGCTGTCACTGGTGGATCCAAGGGGCCAAGCATGGCTCCAAAAAATCCAGCCAAATTTCCTTCTGAGTTCTTTTTTTTTTCAAAAATTTTGGGGGGATTGTGTCTCTTCCCTCCCTTTCAAAAGTGTGGAAAAAGCTGGAACATGTTTGCCACCCCCCCCCAAATGGGTCTTGCCCCACCCACCCCCAAAATGTCAGGTTCTTGATCTCCTCTTGTTACCTGTGTTTTTAACTGAAACAAATGTAGACTTAGTACTGGACAAAAGATTTGGACATGGGCCGCGTCCAAAAGTTATGGCTGGGGCTTAACATATGATGTGCCCCTATGGAAGCCCTAGCAACCACTTCTCATAGTTGCATGTGTCATACTCAGCCACAGCCAGTTGATGCCAAGGCGGCCACTGTGTCAGTATCATCTATGTCACAATTGAGTCCATCAGGAGTTTCACAAGTCCCTTCACAAATGCACTCACAAGGATTAGGAGGAATAGAGCATAGCAGCGAGAGAGAGAGAGCTAGCTAGCTTGCTAGCTTCTGGTCATACCCAGGGTAATGTCTCACAAGACTTGTATATGGGGAATATGTCTCACTAGACTTGTATTTGGAGAAGCGACAGTCGCATATTTTTCCGAAGGGAAGTTGGACCTAATACACTTGCAGGTTTTCAAATGAATGCCACATGTGAATAAATCACCTTCGATTGTTTCCAGTCAGTGTAAATGCATTACCTTTTTCCTTCCTTGTAAATCAAACCTGATGTTGCCATTAGGATGTCATTCTTTGATTTGAGTGGACACTGCTTAATGGTCCCTAAGACAGGGTCACCAGTGGGACTTGTTATCAATCAATTAGGTTGTGACACTGTCTTACCTGCCATATATCATATCTTCAAACCACAATCAATTTGGCAGGCACAAGGTAGTTTGAGCCACTTGGGAATGGGCGTGGTTTTAGTCAGAATCTCTGGGTTCACTTAACATCCTATCAGCACTTTGAAAAAATATTTAGCAGCATCAATCTTTAAGTAATTTGACTGGCTGATGTCTTGTGGAATGAATAAAGGGATACTGAAATAGGCATGTCTATAGTCTACACCTTACATACTCTTAACTAAGTAAGAAAGTCAGTACCCTTCAACATGTAACATGTTGTGTCATATACTTTGCACAACCTGCTTTCTGGAAAGAAGATTGTGTTGTCTTATTCATTCCAAGATTTTCTTTCCAGTGAGCTTTCATGAATTAATCAGCCTGTGCAGACCTTTCACAGGGCCATGTCATCAACACGGCCAGGGCTGCCACCCCTTCCCTGCCCCACCCCTCAGCCATCCTCTGCTACAGAGATCTATGTCATGTGCCCCTCCCCCATCATTTTGCCTCCTTGGCATTTAGTGTTTTGACTAAGGATTGCACTAGATTCCACCTGAATATCTCTTTACCCCCAACTGACACCAGTCCTTTGATAATTTATTCTATTTGATTTATACACTTGTCAGTTTATTCTTCTTGTCACTGATAGCAAAACTACATCTGGATCAAATCTCCTGGGGCCCCTGGTTACCTCCAACAACCCCAGCCCTCAGAAATCTGGTCCCCAGACTCCTGGCACACCCAAGAGCACAACCCCTACATCCACACCTCAAAAGAGCCAGTCTGCCACCCCGACCAAGAACATGGCTCAAGGAGGAGCCGCAGCTCATGGAACCTCGCCCTTGCCAACTAAAGTCACACCCACAGAAGAGGAGGACACTTTCAAGAATCTAAAGAAAACTTTTGCCAACATTTTTGGAGACCTGTGAGTTGGATCAGTACGACTCATTTTTCTGAATTCGGTTTGAAACTTTTTAGAGACTGCATGGTAGGTGGGCTGTTACATCTATCAGTTTCCTATTGGTCCTGAAAATCAACAGCAATAATTTACGTAATACAGTGTATGTAAGTAATAGAGATCTGAGATAAGATAATTCTGAAAAACGTTTTGAAAGTTCCAACCCTTGCCACACGTGAGGCAAACCTAAAACAGCAGAACTGATGGAAGCTAGCTGCTTTTAAGCTGGCGTCTTAAATCTGTGCTTGTTCCTCTCAGGATATGAGGGACAGAAGATGATGAAAAGTTTGCTGTCAAGAAAGCAGCCTGTCTCGGAAATCCCCCCCCCCCCAGTATTTGTAAGACAAAAGAAAAGAACATTTTTGGAAAGTTTGTTGTTGGTGGTTAAACAAATTCTCCATATATTTTGCTTGTATTTTTGTTGTCTTTGAACCCCTCCTTGCAGTGGTAGGGCATATCATCATGGGACATAGATTATAATTATATATCATTGATGTTGAAGAATCCTTTACCTGAGAGTGGACTCTTACCAGACATATTAAGCCAGTCAGACTTTTTCACTCAGTACCTCCTCATTGTTTGCTTGGGGAACTTGAAACAGTTTCAAGCAACTGAAGTGTGAATTGAGGCAAGTAATTACTAATTTTATATTAATTCAAGGAAAACTATGTAGTCTCCTTTTTATTTGTGAATTTATTTTTGTTTTATTATTTTTTTTCACTTTTTATTTTTTTGATTTTCTTTTCAGAATTGTCACTGTGCTTGGAAAGGGTTGTGCACTGTGAAAGTTTAGCAGTGAATTATTATTTAACACTTCCGTTTCTCACAAGAGATTATATTTAAGGTTTTGTTTCAACTATCAAAACATTACATTGCGAACTTCTTACCTTAAACAGTGCAATAAATGTAAAATAAAGTATATCATTTCACATGAAATGTAGTTGGAAATACAATCCCAATTTATTGTAAGTTAATTTATTGTAAGAAATGTAAGTTTTTCTTGTGTTCAACGAAGTAAGGGTGAGCAAAGTTACAAATTAGCCAAGTGTATTTGTGTATTTTAATAAAACTGTGCTGCAGCATGTGAATGTTAGTTTAGTATAAATTGGAACATCAAAATGTTCAAGTTTAGGTAAAATGTGAATGGATATGGTGTGTAATTGTTGTGACACCATGTAATGAATCACATGTATGATAATCAGTCAAAGTTATGATACAATTTTTAATCCTGAAGATGCAAAATGATCACACGTTTTATGTGCTGAGTTTCAACTTTAAAATGAACACTTCAAAGTGCTGTTTATCCTGGAAGAGATAAAACCTGAAAACTGTGCAACAACATAAACCTGGCAGTTGTTAAGACGTTCAAACCAGTATCTGCCGCCCACTGACAAATTGAGAAAAGCTTTGCATTGACTTAATACTTCTGTGGACGAAGGACCTTGAATATTTGGGTAATTTTGAAGGAATTGAAACGGACATCTTTGTAACAGTGTGACCCAGCTGATTTTATTTATTTCTGTTGCATAATTCGTATTGGAAACAAAGGAAGGTGGATTACTTCGAAATTGCATGTAGTCCCTGTAAGAGGCGGATCCAGGGGCATGGGGGCACACCCCCCCTCCCCGTTTTCACAAAAGAAATGAATATATAAAATGAATAAATAAAAAGAGAAGAAAAAAGGGGGACCCAGGCCCCATAAATGTGACAAGGTCGTAAAAAGAAAAAAAAAGGACAAAAAGCATTTATGCTTCCATTTATCTAACCTCCTAAATTTTATGGCTGTGACCCTAAACTTTTAGTTCACGCCCCCCTCCCCTTTTGGAAAATCCTGGATCCGGCCCTGCCTGTAGCCGTGAAACCTACAGGATGCTATTTGAAAAGGTGACAAGAATATCCTGAAATGCTATTCGAGGGAAATTTCGCAGACTAAGAAAGTCCCACTCGACCAACCAGCCTCTGTGGTTAACTTGGTTTGATACAAAAATGTTAAAAAAAAAAAAAAAAAGGACACCACACATCCACTTTACATTGCGGCAGTAGCATAGTCTTTAGGCATTGAACTCGGCTTTTGCAGTGGTTGGTAATATCCCTACTAGGTCTAAGGCACTTCCATAAGAGATGCACAAGGAATCTGTTTGCCTGTAAAATTCCACAGTAGCCAGGTATCTAGGAAATTCCACTGCGTTCAGTAAGTTCTTAACCTGCTCAGCTCTTTGCTCTTCATTTATAAGGCTGACATTTCCTCGTCGAACAAAACGGTTAGAGACGGTTTTAATTTTGTATTTTAAGATTTTTATTCTGCAAGATCATATTGCTTCAATTACGTTTTTGAATTTATAACTTCAAAGTGTCCAAGTGGTATTGTGTCCTTGTAGGTATTTTAAGTGTTCATATAATTAAAAAGCAATACCATATAAATACTGTAAATGTAAAATACTCATTGTGTAATTAGCGTTTGAAAATTACTCAACTACCAAAGGGTTTGTAGTGTGTTTAAAGTAATCATTAATATACTTTCCGGGCCATTTTCCATTGTAACATATAATTATCTGTGTTTATGTATGACAGTGATAATGTGGTAATGAATTTTACACGTAGGCCTACTTAACATTGTCGCAGAAGAGTGGGTGCTCAAAACGAGAAATCTAAAAACTGGAAATTGTTCTGCTGATGGTCAGTATGCCCCTTGTTGTACATTTGGCAAATTCGTGTATTTGTGTACATTTATGTTAAGATTATTAAATTGATACTGCCTTCTGAGGTGTTGAATCGTAAAGACTATTGTAGTTAATGGTGCCTAGTCCCACCTCAACTCCTTCTTTCGTTACCAAAGTAACCCCAAGTCAGTGTTCCGTGACTGATATTAAACATCGGTTCGTTTTATAGTTAAAGTGTGAGGTCACTTTAGTTTAAACCACGCCCCCTGCGAAATAGTGCATTGATCGCCGTTTACATGGAACCGGAAGTTAACGCGCAACTTCAGCGATTGGACCAAATGGCAGCCTGCAAATCGTGGCGCGTCCGCGAGTATGACGAAGTCACGAACCGGATGCGCTGTGTCTGGTAAAGGCTTCGCGCGTGTCGTTAATTTTGAGTGGAGAGAATTGCGCAAAATCACACAGCTTTTGTCGGAGCAAAAAATCACCTTCGATCTTTGGTAAACGCAAAGCCTGTCCCCAACAACGTTCAGGGATTTTGCGCGATGGAAGGAAACCCATCAACGCCCGTATCTGCAGCCCTGTGCCCTTTTCCCTTTCAATACCATCGCCACACATGAATTAAGCAAGATATGAGACGGAGAGACCCCCCCCCCGTTTTGTGTTGGTCTTTGTCTCACTGGAATCTGAGGAATTCTTTTCAGACATCAACAGAGGATTTGTTAGGTAATAATAGTCTAGAGTGTATATAGCGATTTGACAAGTTTGGGGGTACCTCTCATTCTCATTTCTTGCTGGGTATACCCACGTGTATTTCTTTCCTTGTGTGGTACCGGTAGTGATGTCTTATATTTTTCTAGAATTTTTTTGGGTTCGCGTTGCGAAGAAATGAATCCTTAAACGTTTTTAAAAGACCGCGCTCAGGAAAGTATGCAGATTTACAAATGCTGATGTACATGCAATTGAAAACAATTCATGATTTGACGGTTTCGAAGTTTGTGGGAAGTTTTCAACAACATCCGTGCCCTGCCGGTGGAGACTGGTTGGTTCGGAATCCAGCGTTGAAATGGTCGACCAAAAAAAAAATAATGCGTCCCCCTGGCCCTCCAGGCTATGGGCTAAGACTGGGGTAATGCCAAATATTACAGTACTTTAATTTGAGTTAAACGCTTCAGGCCCACAAGCGTGGATTTGATTTCCTTCACGAAGCCTCCGACGGAGACGAAGTTGAGTATTGGAAAACGGCCTAGGGCACGGCGATATCGATGTTAGGCAAAACAACGCCCTCTCTTGTTCAAGCACCTCCGGCAGCAAACGCGCTGCGTCGCAGGCCTGGCGAATGATGCAGTGCGCATGGAAACGGACGCACATCAGACAAAACAGATACATGTTGTTGTAAACATGTAGAGTTCGTTTCATGGGTACAATTAGCATTCAGTTTGTGCTAATGTGTTCAAACATAACTTCAACAGAATTTTCAGCCTTGGTCTTTTCAGTTGATACAGAAATGTTGAATGACGGGTAGCCGATTTCGCCAATTTCCAGGATGGCCTACAGGCTTTGTCAACCTTTGTGCTAAGATATGGACGGAGCAGAGAGCGACGGAAGCGAAGATTACTATTCTGCTTCGGAGCTCACACAGCCGATACGCGGTTGTCGTGCCACTGTTAGTCCTGGGGAAAACCCACCAGCTGAACGGCGGGCACGAGGCATTGTCAAAGGTACCTTAAGGAGTGTGTTGCCATCGATTAGAGAGGACTGGGGAGGATTAGTAGGAAGTTATTGGACTGAACAAAATGTTTTGGTGAAACAAAGGAAAACTCAAATATAAAGCAACGTAGGATTTGCAACGTAGGCCTACTCCTGAAAATACAGCATATCGTGTTCACTTGATATGCTTATGTTCACTCCTATCGCCTCGTCACTCGGCAACGAGGTATACTCGTGGCAGCAGGAATTACCAGCTTGAACGAAGCCTTAATTGTTTAAACATCTTTGTTATATATTTTGATTACCTCTAACAATAGTAACAATGTTTATGGAAAGTGACCGTAGCCGTTATCCTGTGGCTTCATGAACACTTGCGGCATAACTAAGGTGAAATTTCTGAGGGGCACCCAGGGATGCTTACATTCATTTCAAGAAGGTACTTAAAGCAAATTAACTGGGGCTCGTGCATATATTGTGTACATTTTAAAATTTTCAATAGGGGCAGGGCAATGATTTCGGCGAAGGACTCGTTTCTCCCTTTGTTCCCAGGCTCCAGCCATCTGATTGGACGAGCGTCTTTAATCACATGGCCATTTAGATGAGGCTTATATTCCTTTTCAATGTCCGCTTCCAGTTATTCTTTATTTGAATTGTACGCTTTAGATGTAAATGACCAAACAGCGAAGAAAAAGCGACGTCGTGAGCGGCACAACTCGAAAATCACCGAACAATCCCCAGTGGTACATCACGCCCTCAATGGTATGAACACGCTTTACGTTTTCTGGGCCAATGAGAAACTGTGTGACGTCATTGTCGTCGCGGACGGCGAAGAGTTTCTTGCTCATGGAGTTGTGTTGGCAACACACAGCGACTTTTTCCTGCGATTGCTGCTGAGAAGACAGACAGGTCCCGTCGCTTCTCCGTACAGGGTAACGCTGGGAAGTCTGGTTTCAGTCTCTGGATTTAGAAAAATACTGCATTATATGTACACCGCTGAAATGGAGCTGACGTGGGCATCCGTTTGCGAGACACTGCAAGTTGCATGCGCCCTCAAGGTTACTCGGGTTGTTCAACTAGCACAAGAGTTCCTTCAAAGCTACGACATCGAAAATTGCCTCACCGCCTTGTCTGCCGCCACTCAGGCCCACTTAACGTTGCTCTCAGTCAGGATTCACAAATTTGTCACGGAAAATTTCCTGGCCGTCAGCCGCACGAGAGAGTTTCGGCAGTGCCCTGCTGATGCGATAGCAAGTCTCCTGGCAGACGATAGCCTGAACGTTTCCAGCGAATTGGACGTCCTCACGGCCGCCAAAAACTGGATCCATGCCAACGGGGAGGAGGGGATCAAGAGCGCTCCCGTGATCATGAGGCAGGTGCGATTGCATCAGATTCCATCTGATGAACTCGCAAAACACATCGAGATGGATAACGACTTAATGCAAATACCGGAAGTGAGGTCGAGGGTCATGCCAGTTCACATAAAGCGGCATTCCCCGCCAGCTGCAAGCGCCAATGCACTTGTAGGGTCGACGGCAGAGGACATAACAACTGAAGCACAGGAAGATGCACCAGCATTGGTGAGGGAAAACGGAAAGAACATTCTTGTGTTTGGTCTCCCGTAGGCCTATTGTTTTTATTCATGAAATAAAACACTTTGTCGTCACCATATTGATCTCGTTGCTAAATGGGTAAAGCATACGTATTTAGCACAAAATGGTAATCGGAATTAACCGTTTGAACCTTTTTGCCACTTCAGAGCGTAACAGATGAGGACGTAAAGAAGACAAAGGTCATTAACCAGTCAACATCTTCCTCTGTGCCTTCTTCGTCACCTAAACCCTCCCAGTACATGGGCGAGCGACACGCCGCAGAATCTGACGAACATCCGGAGGCTGCTTTAGTGGGTCCTGCTTTGAAACAAGTGAGTGTTGCATTGAAGGTTTTATTTTTTCCCTGGCATTTCCTGAAAAGAAGGCAGGACTTTTAAACAACTGAATTTTAAAAAGTAATTGTGGTTTTTTCTTCTCATTTTCACTTTTACACACTTCAGAGAAATGACGCGGAGACAAGATTAAAAGAGGCACAAATTATTGAGCAATCGTTTCCATCCCAAAAGTCAACATTAACAAGCTGGGATTCTTTCCGACCAATCAGCGACACAAACGTCACAAAGCCCACCTTAAAGCAGCAAAGTTCGATTGAAACTACTTGGAAAAAGCTAAAGGTGATTAACTTGAATATATGAATTGACATTTTGTGTTTTTTTACATCCAGATTTATAATGAAACCATAAATCCTCACAGGTTGATACCATTAACGTTGGTCAATGTTTGAACTTCCCACAATTTTTTTTCATTCTTCCTAAATGTACGGTGGCTGATCTCCGCCAAGAATACACTTTTTTATTTTACGGCGTTATAACGCCATAATTTTAGGCGTAATAAACACTATATTACGGCGCCTTTGTCTGCAGGTAGTCCTGATGCTCAGTAATAACATGGATATAAAGCCTGGGCGGCAGGTCTAATAGGGCGTTATAACGCCTTAATAGGGCGTTATAATGCCTTATTGGGGCGTTATAACGCCGTATTGGGGCGTTATAACGCCGTAACATAAAGTTTCTTCTTGGCGGAGACCAGCCACTGTATTTATCACATACCTTGCAAGATCCGAACCGTCCAAGGATGGCCACAGTAACTGCAAATACTATGCGCATAAGCGGAGTCACGTGTACTATTGCATGGACGCCGGAGAGCGTTATTACGTCGTAATAGGGCGTTATAACGCCGTAAAATTTAAAAAAAAAAAAGTATTCCTGGCGGAGACCAGCCACCGTAGAAGAAGTGCCAGTGCAGAAAAAAATCCAATGTTCATCAAATTTCAATGTGTCAAACAAATTTTGTCTTTAAATGGAGTAGTTGTTTAAGCTTTGTGAGAGAGAGTCTTAACATTTTTCCATCAGCCACTTGAGGGTGAACCGGATGAAGTGAGGAAAGCTATTATCGTCCAATCATCACCTACTGTCGGCGATTCAAGCCCAAAGCCGCAACGAGACACGTCTAGTCCTATCCCCTTGCCAGTGGTCTGTTCAACATAATTATGAAAGCTTTTACTGTTGATTAGTTATTCAGGTTCAGCACACATGAAACAAATTGTCTTATCCTTTATACTGTAGAGTTATTAATCTAATTATTGCTGTCTAATGATTCATAAGTAATCTATTAATTATTATAAGGAATAAAGGTGGATGTACTTTTATTGTATCACCGCCTTTAATTTAGACCAAACTAGATATTTAAGAGTAATCTAATTTTGTATAAATTGTTTCATTCCAGCCAGATACAAAAGATGGCAAATCTTTGACTCTAAGCAACATGAAAACGCCAACATCCCCTCGCAAATTCGCCACCCATTTCCACGCTCCCCGTCTTACCAGCGACTACCGAATCACAGCGTCCAACCCAAAAGCACTAACCAGCGGACCAGTGGCGTGGCCTGTCACTAAACTGATGGAGAGAAGGCAGAAACCGGACGTCATCCTCGCTGTTGGTGGTGTTGCCAAAAGCGGGGAATCAGAAATCGCAGGCCGGATGGTAGAAGCGTTCCTATTGGACAAGAACGAATGGCACGAACTGGAGCGAATGCCGGCTCCGCGGAATCACCACGTGGTGCATTTTCTCAACGGTTTCGTTTACGTCGTTGGTAAGTTTATAATCCAAGGTCGTCGGCATCAAACCTCGATACCAATTAATTTCAAATCCGTTGTGTAGTCAAAGATCACCCAAGTTGCGTTTATTCAACAGGAGGGTCCGATCCACATTCGGAGGGCGAGGAGTTTCTGAAACCCGTGAATTCTGTGTTAAAATATGACATCAGGATTGGTAAATGGAGCGAGGCGCATCCCATGAACTCCGCCCGGATATTTCACGAAGTCACCGCGCTATTTGGCCAGCTGTATGTGGTCGGTGGTCAAGATCAAGAAGGGCGGTAAACAATTCTCCACTCTCACAGATGTAAAAGGCCTATGTAAAACCAATAGGCATTCTGGTTAGAATTTCTGTCTACATGCACATTTGGGATAGTGACGTGTACAATAGAAGCATGAAGAGATAGCTGCTGGAGTTGTTTCAAGGACAAAGGCCAAGTAAATGACAAAAGCTGTCACATAAAACCAGTCAATCATGTGACGATACAGCCAACGGTTCACTGAAACACTTGGTGGCAGCAGGCACAACTCTGAGCAGGTACTTAACAATGCATTGCAGCCATGTAGCCAGGCTATCTTTTCTAGTGACAAAAATGGAACTTAAGTCCCATCTATGCCCAGTTCAGATTGAATTAAAACAGGCTGTGCGATGAAGTCAATCAAAAGATAACTTTTTTATTTGGGGAAATTGTGTTTCACATTATTTACCTTTTTTCCATTTTTATTCAGCACCCTGGTCTTGTACTTATAATCAATTTCGTGTCCTGATTTTGGATCCATCAGCTTCTCAGTTTGCAGACCCTGCAACTCCCCAGCCTTACTTAGCTGTGCTACTGATGGATGCACTGTTTCTCTTGTCGACATATAGTGCAAAATGAGATTCAAATAACGCGCCCTATTTTCGGTACTAAATTTAACCGGAAACCCCTTTCCTCCTACCCAGAACGCTAGCTACTGTTGAGTGTTACTCACCGAACTCTGACCGATGGCACTACGTGGCACCCCTGCCATCGGCGCGGTACGGCGTGGCGGTCACGGTTTACCGCGGCCGAATCTGGGTAGCCGGCGGTTTCCCTGAAGAGCAACTGGCCGAAGCGTCGGCGGTTCCCAGAGACGTCATTTGTTACAATCCGTTTCGAAACGAGTAGGTGGGATGCGTAGACGTCAATGATTCCTGAATATTAACCCTGTCAAGACACAGGGCTAATAAAATAAAAACACTTGTTAAATCGGTCTCCCAGTCAGCCTCGTTTTCTCTGAAGAATGAATGTGCATTGTTGCATAGTTCAAGTAGTCACAGACGCAGTCCACCAATGTTCACGTCTTGACATATGTTTCATGTGTATTCATATCCAACAAACATCAATGTTTACAATTTAATTCTTTAGTTTCTATGAGCATGTTCCTGCAAAAGTAGGACAGAATTTAAGATGCGGCTTCTTTTATTCGGTATTTTCCCTGCTTATTTTTTTTATTCCCAGATGGAGCTCCATGACACCTCTCCGTGTCCCACGCTGTCACGCGAGCCTTCTAGAGATTGCAAACAAATTGTACATGATTGGCGGATTCGTCGGGGATTCCAGCGCCTCCGACGAGAAGAGCCAATCAGTGTCCACGATAGAGACGTACAACGAGAGCAGTGAGGATTGGGATTTTGTGGCCGACCTCTGGCAGGGCCGTCACGATGCAAACACGGTTACTCTAGGTAACTACCGGCGTATCTTGTTATTTCTCCATTTTGCCGAGTTCGGGTCCGAAATTAATTTCAGGGTTCTTGCCCCAAGAACACACTGACCACCGCAAACGCCGTTTTGCTATATTTATTACTGTTAATCCCGTCCACTCGTCATGGCTTTATTACATTAGCTTTTAAATGCATGGCGCACACGATAGGAGGGCGGTAATCGAAGTGGGTAAAATTGGAGCAAACACAAAGGATTTTACCCAAACCAAGCAGCACTCCCCCCCCCCATTGTATCCGCCATACCTCTAGAAGGCTAATGCAGGTGACACCATGCAGCATTAAATAATTAGAACATTTTGCACAGAATGAGAAAACAAACCGTTCTATACCCAACATTGTATCTTACTTAATATACAGCCGGCTTTAACAGGATTAAGACGCTGTAAAGGGTGGCTATATTTACACACACGCCATCAAAGGTGATATAATCAGTGTCATTGTTTTGTTACGGGACAGATGCAGAGAAAACACGTAGCGAGATGCGTGGTGCGCTTGCGAAATCAAAGCTACCGCGGACTTATAATGGCTTCGTGTTGATTGTACCTCCAACTTGCAAGGACAAGACGTTTTGGAGTGAAGATCACTCTGAATTTAGACTGAAAAAAGGCTGAAAAAAGCGCCTTCCGGAGGTAGCTCGAGTGAAATTTCAATTTTTTGGACTGAAGAAATTTCACTCCATTTCGTCTGGTCCTTGATTTCAACAGGAGGGGTTGAGTTTTCACTCGAATAGAGTGAATATTCACTCTTTGGAATTTAGAGAGTAGTCAAGCCTCTTTCACTGCTCCGCTGCGCTTCACAGCTATTCAAAGAGATGACTACCATTTTCAAAGACCCATTTCTACACAACTCAAGGAAAATTTTGTATCTGTATCATTGAGACTGATATCTATCATCTTTTTGGGTGTTTAGGGGACAAAGCCTACATCATTGGAGGCATGGAGGACGAAAACGAAGATCCCCTACCTAATGTCGAGTGCTTCGATCCCGTGGCCATGTCGTGGGTGCGGGGCTTGAAATCTCTGTCCACGGCGCGTTTCGGTCACGCCTGCTGTGTGGTTCCCAGTGATGTCCTAATCAAGTGGCCAAAGGCGTAAAGGGAAATTTCGTTTAGATATGCTTGTCGAAATCGACGCTTCGTCACAGCCTTGTACGGGGGCATCTCTCTCGATTTCTTTAACTTTAATTACAATGTGACTTTTCTGTCTGCCTTCCGTTACCAGTCAAAATTTAAACTGAATTCCACAGCAGCTTCGTGTACTGTTTTTTTTTCCCTCTCTTTTTTTTCCTTGCAGCAATGTAGTGTTTTCCAGGAAGCGACAGTAAAAAAAACTGGGGATACCCATATAAGGCCCTTTACAGAAATTCTTCTGATTGCGAACATGTGGAGAAAGAGATTGCCAATAGCTCTGGAATTATCCACTGTCGGTTTTTATCTTTAATATTAAAACCCTCGGGAGTAGCCTGACACAAAAGAATGAAACATGCCCTGATTCGTTCGTTAGTTCCTGGCAAGTACATGTGACAAGGGTAAGGTAATTTCCGCTCCAACAAACAGATTGGAATTTCTTTAGTGCAATTCGTCAGTGACGCCTGAAGCTACTCAGAGTACAATTCAAGGCGAATGTCCAACGCAGAGATCTCTCGTGGCTTGCGTGTATTCGATCTATTTGGTTTGCAATCAATCAGTGACGATCTGCTCACCAGCGAACTAATTTAATGAAATGTCATCTCTCTGTGGTACACCTTGACTTCCTGTTTTGCTTTCCCTTCCCTTCTTTTACTTTGATAAGCTCAGTCAATTCAGTGTGCCGCCTTTACGTCAGAAAGGCCAGCCTTCACGGTAGGATTAATTGAGATTGTAAGAAAAGTCCTCTCTTGTAAAGAGACCAGGTCCTGGCGTTTGGCTCAGCAATTTCAATTGTAATTCAGAAAAAGACAGACTCATTGTCTATAGATAGTGTGTACTATCCTACGTTTTTGTCAATCACTCGTGGCTATTAAAACAAGACAGTTTCTGATAAAATTTATAGTCTTTTTTTAATATTTCATACAATGTATAAGGATGACAAACCCTAAGCAGTTATTTGGTAAAACCAACAATTTTGTTGCCCCTGTGTAGATCCTGTGTCATTTCCAGTCTGGCTGTTGAAATGCATTAATGAAAAAGGGGGAGAGAACAGAACCTCATCTATACTGTGAAATTTCTCGACCCATTTAATCGGCCCAGCAATTACCGCGTTGTGTGAAGTGCGGATAATGTAGCGTTCGTTTCAGAGTGCACGATATAGGTCTCTGCTCCGAGGGGACCCATTTTCTGCGAAATTCAATCATTTCTAGCAAAAATCATCTTGTTTTCGAGACGAGACTCGGAGAGAAAAGCACTCTTCGCTTTCGGGCCTGTCTGTTTCACTAGATCACTCTCGGTACATCCCACGCGGACACGGCCCCCCCAATTTTGATTGGCTGGCCCACTGACATTGCATAGCTTTTAGTCACGAGTGCACATGCGCAGTCGGAGAGTTTATTCAAAAGGATAATATTATAACTACATATTGTCCAAAGGCTTGGTGTGTATTATAAATCTTCAAATTTATTTGCTATGGACTTGGTGGCTTTTGTTTGAAGCTACGAGTGTTGCTCCCTTTCAAATAGGGCCGACCAATGTAAACTTCGGTTGTCTGTCAGTATTCGTCATAATTTCTTTTAATGTGCTTTGGTACTTGTCTCTTTTGTTTATTCTATGTATGATACATGAACGGGAGCTTTGACTTTTACATAAGAGATCAAAGACATCTGGAAGCTGTCCGGACTGACGGTTTTAGTATCTCAAACCATAATCCGGTAAAATGGACCAAAGCAGAACAACGCCGCATTCTCTATTCACCACTGGAACTCTTGGGGACTCATCCAATGATTCAGGCGACGGAGACGCGCCAACTAACGACTGGGGCGTGGACAAGGTGGCAGGCAGTGATTTGGTCTTGGCCCTATATGGTGTAATATGCGTGGTAGGAGTCACCGGGAATCTCCTGGTTTGCATTGTCCTGCTTCGTGTGCGATCCCTCCGGTCCAACACCAGCGATTTCCTGGTGCACCTATCCCTGGTAGATTTGATGGTGTGCGTGCTGGTCATTCCCTACAAGATCTTGCCCCCACTGAGTCAGTCCCCGCCCCCGAATCCAACCATCTGGGGCCAGTTCCGGTGCCGGCTGTACGTCAGCCAGTACCTGTTCTGGGCCTGTGCGGTGACGTCGGTCTTCAACCTGATCATGGTGAACCTAGAACGCTTCGCTGCTATCGTCCACCCCCACGAATATAAGAGGATCTTCGCCACTCGAAACAAGTTCCTCATGATTGTCTCTTGTTGGATCCTGGCTTTTCTTACCAAATCCTTTATTTTGTTTCTGTACGAGGAAGATCCAGCATCCGGGTGTCGCTTTCTGGGCTGGCCGAGCAAAGGTTTTCAGGCGGCTATTGGCGTGTGTAACTTCACGTTCAATCTCTTCGCCCCATTCGTGCTAATGATTTCTGTGCAGTGGAAAGTCATATCAACACTGAAGAAGCAAGCGAAAGCACTGACCGCTCAAACTGGTGAGTTTTGCTGTCTTATTGCCTTGTTATATTATCAACTATTTTATTTCGATTAAATCATCAACACCACACGTCTGTGTTCAGAGGAAATGATTTCAATTATCGGTTTAGTCATAAAAGCGCTGTTTTTGCCTTTTGCCATGAGACGAAATCAGACTTGCAGGCCACCTGTACAGTTACTACATAGAGAGTGCACTATCTAACGCTGATGAGCACATTTTTCAAATATGGGACGTCTAAATAAAGGTCGTATTTTCTCGTTATCACAGCCATCTTGGATCTCAACCCAACTGACCGTCGTAAAATGTGGCAGCTTCGGGTGACCCAGATCCTGGTACGTACCCTCCTGGCTTTTGGTCTGACATTCGCCGCCTGCTGGGCACCTAACCAATTCATGTTCCTGCTGTACAACCTGGGCGTCCAATTCAGCTTCGCCTCGCCCGTTTACCACTTTGGCGTCATTCTGGCTGTGTGCAATTCATGCGTTAATCCGATCATCTACACCATGACCAACCAGCAGTTCCGGATAGGAATCAGGATGGCATTCGGAATGGAGAAACAGTCGGCCCAAGTGGTTGATGGGACCACGGCTACGTCGGGAATGGTGACCCTGTCTACAAGAGTTGGAGCTAAATGAACAATCGTTATGTTGATGTGTGGATGTATATAGTTAATTGAAGTAAAATAACCTGAGAAAATGCATCTGACTCTCTCGGTCCGTGCGTTGTATGTTGCGACTGGAAAATCTAAATGAAACAGAAAAACATTCGATGATTCATCCATTTTGATCTGCACACTTCGACCCAGTTCACAGATGTCAAGGAGTGCAGTTTCTTCAGGAGAACCAAGGGGCCGATAGACTTAGGCCTAAACTGTAAAGTACACCACTGGAACCCCGCGGTTTTGGTTCGTTCGTTCCTTCCTTGGGTGGTTTTGGGACGATAATATTACCCAAATGGGAGCACCCGTGCAGGGCATACACGAGAGGGATGGGAGGCATGCTTTGCGTCATCCCCATCACTCAAGTTAATGCTGCTTCACCGGTCAAAGTTTTGATTAGCGCTCAACCAATGCTAATAAAACTGTGTACACAGTGTACGTGACTTTAAGTCTCTGTCCTATCGTACCATCTAAGAGCCCGACCTGTTCTGTTTGACGTGCACTTCCTCGTGATTAGAGGAGGACTGGACTTTCCTCCACGTTTGCTATCTTTTTTAACGTACTCTCAGATCGATTGTGACTATCTTTCATTTATTCTTAAACGAAAGTTCCCTGATTCGCCTGCTTGCCAATTGCCTGTCTGACTGTTTGAATGATTGTGATCAAACAGAGCAAAGTATTTGTTTTGAGGCCCAGGTCAGAGCGTAATGTTTGAAGGACGTGGACTGAGGCGACTGTTTGGGGCGTTCCGCTGCTATCGCTATTCAGTCTTGTGATCGATGGATGCATTTTGTACTTGCATGGAAGTAATTACATGTTGATGCCATTGCCTCGTGCCATTAAAAGTATCTTTGAATAACCACAGTTGGTTCTTGCCCCAGGTACTTGGAGGACGGAGAGTAACTTAACGTGGCTTCAAATGGATGGAAATTTTAGTGACACTCATTGCAATCAGAGCTCCTCAATACCACCAGAAAATTTCCCCGATGATTCTAACGAGGCCAACGCTTTAGGTATGGTGGTGTTGGCCGCGTTCAGCGTGATTTGTGCGGTGGGACTCATCGGGAATCTGCTGGTCTGCATCGTGCTGCTCCGTGTACGATCCCTCCGGTCCAACACTAGTGACTTCCTGGTACACCTATCCGTGGTCGATTTAGGGGTGTGCATGTTGGTCATCCCCTCAAAGATCGTTTTACCGTTAATCCGACCTTTGTCGCCGAAGCCAGACTTTTGGGGCCAGCTCCGCTGCCGAGTGTACACGGGAGAATACCTCTTCTGGGTCTGCGCTTTGACATCCGTCTTTAGTCTGGTCACCGTTAATCTAGAGCGCTTCGTGGCCATCATCCATCCTCACCGATACAAGAAGGTCTTCGGCAGCAGGCGAAACAAACTTCTCATTATCATGTCGTGCTGGATCCTCGCTGCACTGTGCAAATCCTTTATCGTGTTTCTGTACGACGAAGATGCAGCGCTTGGATGTCGTTTTCTTGGTTGGCCCACCTCTGGCTGGCGAGCTGGAATAGGGCTTTTCAACTTTACGGCCAACTTGTTGGCGCCATTTGTGCTAATGGTGTGTGCACAAGTGAAAGTCATCTCCACGCTCAAGAAGCAGATGCGGATACTAAATGGACGCATCGGTAAGTGTTGATAGTTTGCACAGTGCACCCTCACTGCGCGCATGTTGTTGGTTCATGTAAATTCAGTACCAATTAAAAAATGGCGTGGCTCTTAGTACGTGTAGCTTTGTTCGTGTATGTCACGCAGCAACCACGACCTGCCCCAGTTAAAAAAAAAGATGTTCAAAATATCATACCAAGCTTGAACAACTTTGCAGAACATAGCCTTTCTTGTAGTCAACTGTTGTTTCCACGTATGATTTTGCTTTTTTTTATCAAAATAACGGTCAGCTATATCCGTTCACGAAACTAAAGAATCTGGTGTTGATGGTTTTACCTTCATAAGAATGACGACAACATCTACATGTGCTTTTCTCTGCCCTATTCAACAGGTTCCTCCGACCTACTCCTACAACCGATTGAGCGCCGTAAAATGTGGCAGCTTCGGGCCACCCAGACCCTTGCACGGACCCTCCTCGCCTTCGTCTGCACATTTGCCCTGTGTTGGTTTCCGGACCAGTTCATGTTCTTGTTGTATTCGTTCGGCGTCCAGTTGAGCTTCACGTCGCCTCTGTACCACTTCGGCGTCATCCTGGCCGTGTGCAACTCGTGCGTTAACCCAATCATCTACACCATGACGAACCAGCAGTTCCGGAAAGGCATCAGGGCGGCATTCTGTATGAGAACCTCGGCCAGAGTGGGCGAGAGAAAGACAAACACTTCGAAGATAGTGTCCGTAATTATGTGAACAAATCAGTAGAAAATTTCTATAGGGGCCCCAAATAACTGGCGTAGTTGGCACGTTACCCTGGAAACAATCGTCTACCACACCAAAAGTCCGATGAAGTCGTCTGATTAAAAGCAACACTGTCTGTTTCTGTACCCGAGTGCGGAATTAAAGTGAATATAGGTGTCAAAAATCCCAACTGTGTGTTTGGGTTTGCATTTTTTAAAAAATCACATTGCAGTTGTAAAAACTATTTAGTATATTAACTTTATCGTCAGATTTTGCATGTTAAAACTTCTGAATGGTAAAGGTTACATTATACATGTATACCGACTATCGAGTGTGAATAGTGGAGACACTTTGTCAGTGAAACATAATGATTAAGATTTGCGTGTACATAAATAAATTTGAACTTCAACAGTCACAAGAATTGTGTTTTTTTTCAACGAGAAATTCATGTTTTATCCCTCAAGTTTCACGGATTGAGTCGAGTTATGTGATGTGGTGTTTTTTGTTTGTTTTCATTAAGTATAGTACTCCTGTTTTGCACACCGCTGATTGTTGATACCTATTCCTACCCATCCAAACTTTGGAACACGTGTTTATTTAGGTCTTTGGACACGCTCTGGAATTTGTTCGACTAATTATAAGGCGTTTTTGTCTACGAAGATCAGTTCATATAACAACGACTGTAGAGAGCAGGAATTCGACTTTGTAACTAGAAGGGAAACGGAGTAGTATTACGGTACAGCCGTCATCAAGTAAATTGGTATGATCTAATTACCTCAGCCCGTTAGAGCGGGGCCAAATTATTTTTTGTCATCTCCTTCAGCCGATAAGATTGGAACTTTTCTTTATAGCAAAAGCAACCAGGTCTTCGGTGTATACAATAATCAAATTCCGGACACAATACGTTGAATTAAAGCATTCTTGATCCGATAACTAGTGATCTTTAACCGTTCACAGAGTAAGCTGTGAGTGCTTGCGTGACAAGGAGTAGGTCCCTTGTCGGTAGGATCTTTTGCCCTTCTCCATACACGTTCCAAGCCACTACACATGACCACGTTGGAATCGAAGCTCTTTGCTAGTGCTTTATTGTGCATGAAACAGAATTGTAGCGCATGTTTTTATCAAGTAGGGCCTACTCGCGTTTTAAACTTCACATACACGTATGACTTACATGTTTGTCTACCACTGGAAAGACAAACAGTACTGAAATGGATCATGTGAACACAACCTCTGGATACTCGAGTTCGAGTACACTGGGCGATTTTGTTTACACTGAAAAGAGCCCCTTTGTTTTAGCTCTGTACGGTGTGATCTGCGCGGTAGGAGTGGCCGGGAACCTTTTGGTCTGCATCGTGCTGCTCCGCGTGAGATCCCTCCGGTCCAATACTAGCGATTTCCTGGTGCACCTGGCCTTAGTCGATCTGATGGTATGCGCCCTTGTCATCCCTTCCAAGATTGTCTTACCACTGATCCAGCCCTTTTCGCCGAAGCCAGACTTTTGGGGCCAGGTCCGGTGCCGACTGTTCGTGGGGGAGTATTTCTTCTGGGTCTGCGCGTTGGTGTCTGTTTTAGTTCTAGTTTCCGTACACCTCGAACGTTTCGTAGCTATTGTCTACCCACTAAAGTATAAACAACTCCTAACCAGGAAGCGTAACAAGGCCCTAGTCATTGTCCTGTGTTGGATCACAGCGATCCTGACCAAAGCTTACATTCTCTTTCTTTTCGAGGAAGATGAAAATGTCGGATGCCGCCTGTTAAAATGGCCGAGCCCAGCTTTGCAGGCTGTGTTTGGTGTTTATAGTTTCACCATCCAGATGATTGCTCCGTTCTTGATCATGCTCTC